TGAAGCCAGGCGGGCGACGCAGCCAGATCTGCTCGTGCAGGCTCCCCTGAAGGAACACGGTGGAAAAGTCCAAGGAGTGCAACTCGTAGTCGCGCTGGGCTGCAATATGCAGCAACACCCGAAGAGTACTCATCTTCGGGGTGGGAGCGAAGGTCTGGAAGAAGTCCACCCCCTCTCGCTGACGGAAGCCTCTCGCAACATAGCGCGCCTTGAACACAGGTGGTGATCCAGGCGGCCGCTTCACCTTGTAGAGCCATCGGCCACTGATGACATTCGTCCCAGGTGGTGGGACTGCGTCGATGTAAGTGCCTGTGGACCTATAAGATGCCATCTCTGCCTCCTCAGCTGCTATCCAGTACGAAGCCCAGGGTCCCGAGACCGCCTCGGCGTGAGTGCGAGGGATCGGGATGTCAAGGGCGTCTGGATCCCCCTCAGGGGCAAGCAGCATGGCGCAGAGATGAGGAACAGCGGCCGCAAGGAAACCAAGATCGAACTGCCTGTCCTCTAGGACCTCCAGGGGAAAGACAGGAGCACCCCCAGAGGACGGAGAACGTGCAGGGCCACTCACCAAGTGAGCGGCGTAGTCAAGGCGGTGGGAAGAGGCAAAGCCAGAGACAGTGGTAACAAGTGCTGAGACAGACGACAGAGGTGCAGTCGGGTGAGTGACCAACGCGGACAAAACACGGGAGACGACAGGACGGGAGGCACGGAGGTAGTCGGACAACGGGTCGTGAAGCACAGTGAGGGACGACTCAGGGGGCTGTGGAAGGACAGGAGGAGGTGGAACACGAGAGCGGAGAACAAGGTGAAACGGACCGTCTGCACGGTAACGGGACCGACGGGGCTGTGGAGACACAGCACGACTGAGGGGAGGACGACGAGTCCACTGGGAGGAGGAAAGGGACTCAACTGGTGGAACAGGAGGGGACGGTAGGGGACCACGAACAAAGCGTGCAGGTGCTGGGTCGGGGAGGTCGCGTAGTCGCAGTCGCTGCTGCTCCGCCTCCTCTGGCGTCTGCTGCGACGGTACCGGCCCCTGCTGCTGCTCCTGTGGCTCCGCCTCTGCCCTCTCCTGCTGCGGCTGCAGCTGTACCCGCTGCTGCGACCGGGACTCCTGCGCTACCCTCTCCTGCTGATGCCGTGACTCCTCCTCTACTCTCTCCTGCTGCGTCTGTAACTGCACCTGCTGCTGCGGGTGGGACTCCTGCTCTACCCTCTCCTGGTGCGGCCGTGACTGCTCCTCTACTCTCTCCTGCTGTGTCTGTAACTGCACCTGCTGCTGCGGGCGGGACTCCTGCTCTACCCTCTCCTGGTGCGGCCGTGACTCCTCCTCTACCCTCTCCTGCTGCGGCTGCAGCTGCACCCGCTGCTGCGACCGGGACTCCTGCGCTACCCTCTCGTGCTGCTGCTGCGACTCCTCCTCTACTCTCTCCTGCTGCTGCTGCTGCTGCTGCTGCTGCTGCTGCTGCTGCTGTGCCCTCTCAAATCGCTCACGCTCCTCCCTCTCCAACCGGAGGAGACGCTGCTCACGGGTCAGGAAACGTACAGTGCGCGGTGTAGGCGCCACAGTGCCAGTGCCTCCAGCTCCAGCATCCCCAGAACCAGCACCTCCACCACCGACACCCCCGGGGCCTCCAGTACCTCCCGCAGGAACACCCCCAGGCTCCGCAACAACCGACCGCAGAGAAGAAGGAGGAGGAAACTGCGGGACGGACGGGAAGCCAGGGGGTGAGGCAGGGCGAGGCCGCCGAGTCGAGGCTGCCGTGTCCTCCACAGGAGTGACCTCCACGCCCACAACCCCTGCACCCCCAGAGCCGACACCACCAGCTCCTGCAGCCCCAGTACCCTCACCCTCCGCAACTGCACCTCCCGCACCCCCAGACACGACAGGGACTGGACGCTGCGGGGGGGAAGACTGCGGAGTGACGTGCGACACACCTGACGGGGCAGGACGCGAAGGGGGGGGGGCTACCGGGGCGACTGGTGGGGGCTCAAGGGTGAGGAACAGCGGGGGGGAAAAGGCCTCAGTACCTCGGTGGGGGCGACTCCTGTAGTAACAGACAGACTCGTCGAACGTGACGTCCTGCGAAGCGAAGAACTGGTAGGTGACCGGGTCGTAGAACACCCAGCCGGAGGCGTCCAAAGGGAAGCCAAGAAAGACGCAGGCACGAGTGCGCGGAGACAACTTGTTCGCGCCAGGGGCGCGAACGTGAGCCAGACAACCCCAGACGCGGAAGTCGGCTGCTACGCCCGGAGAACCTGTCCAAAGGGAGACCGGCGTCACCCTTGGCCGTGCGTCACTGGGCCACAGGTTCAGCTGGTGCGCGGCGTAGCGGACTGCCTGGGGCCACAAGAACTGGGGGGCACCGGCATGGCACATGGAGGTCCGGGCAACCTCCATGACCAGGCCGATGCGTCGCTCGGCTACCCCGTTCTGCTGCGGTGATGCTGGTAGCGTGTAAGACTGGATGATCCCCCGACCCTGACAGAACGTCTCCAGGCGAGTGGAAGAAAACTCACCACCACGGTCCGAGTGTAGGCGAAGCCCACACAGGCCCTGGGCGCCACCCCACGCTAGTAGCCACGGCTCGAGGACGGTAGGCACGTCGGCCTTCCGTCGCAAGGGGAAAACCGTGGTGTAGCGGGAGTAGTCGTCCACCACAATCAGGAAGTAGCGCTCCTGACGTGGGCCAAGGACCGGAGAGGGGCCCCAGACGTCCAAGTGCAGGGTCTCGAAGGGAGCCGTGGTGGGGGGGAACGAGGAGGAGTGAGGGGCAGCGCGCTGCCGACCCTCGACGCAAGGAGTGCACAGCGGCGCAGGCGAGCGGGGAAGCGGTACAAGCGACCCTGGGAGACCTGAGACCAGACGGTAACGTGCCATCCTACTGAGACGCGGGAACGACGGGTGACCTAGACGGTGGTGCCAGAGGACCGACGGGTGGGTGAGGGACCGACAGTCACACGACACAGCAGCTACCTGACCTAACCTGACCTGACCCGACTCAGTGTGGTGGGACCCAGTGTGTAGTGAGTACAGACCAGATCCCGGCTCTCTGTGGAATGTGGCCAGGGGCGCCCCAGTGGCACCGACAGTGCAGGAGGCAACAGGCTCGTCCAGTGGGAAAGTAGTGACTACGCCTAGGTCGTGAAGGTGACTGACACCCACCAGGTTCCTAGAGAACGAGGGGGTGTAGTAACCTGTAAGAAAACCTGAGGGAGCCGCCGGACACGGAAGAGTGGTGGTGCTGCTAGCAACTACACGTCCCACAGAGGGGTCAGCCAAGGCGACAGTGACTGGAGTGCGCAGTGGTGTGAGGTCGGTACAGTCGCGAAAGAAACAGCTGGACGCTCCAGAATCTAGGGTGAAGGAAAGCTGTGCAGTCTGTGGGGTCGCACCCGAACCAGCTACAAAGGCTAGTGCTAGACTAGTGGTAGCTGCAGCTCCTACACAAAGACCCTCAGAGGCGCCGGGACTGGAAACAACACACGCACCAAGACTGGAAACACAGGTCTCTACTCGTGCAGCCGGAAAGGGTCCTAGACCAGGCAGGTGAGACTCAACTGGTGCAGTAGTGCGCTGGCGAAGGCGCGAAGGCCAGTGCGGTATAATAGCGTGAGGACCAAAACGCTCACGGTGGAGGTCGTCGAGTCGACGGTAGCAGCTGGACGCAGTGTGGTCAGGACTCCAGCAGGTAGTGCCAGCACCAGGGCCTGTCAGGGCCCGGTACCCGCAGGGGCCGACGTCTCGCCCACTGCTAGCTGAGCCACTGCTGGGGGCGCCACACTTTGGACCCGCAGGCCCCCACTGACGGGAGTGCTGCGGCTGGCCCTGCTGCTGTAGAACCCTTGTACATGCCATGTGAGCCTATGCTGCTGCTGGTTCTGCTGGGGGCAGCCTAAGCTGCTGCTGGTGCGCTGGGGGCAGCCTGTGCTGCTTCTGGTTCTGCTGAGAGGCAGCCTAGGCTGCTACTGGTTCTCCAGGGGGCAGCCAATGCTGCTGCTAGTGCGCTGGCAGTTGCCTAAGCTGCTGCTGGTGCGCTGGCGGTAGCCTAAGCTGCTGCTGGTGCGCTGGGGGCAGCCTATGCTGCTGCTGGTTCGCTGGGGGCAGCCTATGCTGCTGCTGCTGGTGCTCCGGCGGCAGCCTATGCTGCTGCTGGTTCGCTGGGGGCAGCCTATGCTGCTTCTGGCTCTGCTGGGGGCAGCCTTAGCTGCTACTGGTTTTGCTGGGGGCAGCCAATGCTGCTGCTGGTGCGCTGGTGGCAGCCTATGCCGCTTCTGGTTCTGCTGGGGGCAGCCTACGCTGCTGCTGGTGCGCTGGGGGTAGCCTATGCTGCTGCTAGTGTGCTGGCGGCAGCCTATGTCACGAGACGAACTTAGCTAGGAACGGGTTTAACTAAGGGCCTAGGCTTAGTAGCCTAGGCCAAGCGGGTGTCGAGGGAGTTGTGCCAAGAGAGAATCGAGAATGTGTGTCTTCACTATAGGTTTGCAAGAACATATAGCAAAGAAACAAAGAGGTGCACCACCACAACAAAGAAACATAACTACACTAAAGCTAAAGCTACAGGCAGTTATAAACATATATAAATATATATCGCGACACACCCCCTTAACTGCCTGCAGCACATAGCTAGAGCAAGTCACACCCCCTGAAGGGGCAGGTGCGGTGGGAGACGGCAGAGGGGTACGTGAGGAGGAGGAGGCAAGAGGAAGAGAGGAGAGGAGAATAGATAAGAACACAGGAGGAGGTGAGTGGGGGATGAGGAGAGGAGGTGGGGGGTGGCCGCAGCATCCCCTCTTACTAACCCCCTTTTACGAAAGGGGGGGTTGAGTGGGGGATGAGGAGAAGAGGTGGGGGGGTGGCCGCAGCGTCCCCTCTTACTAACCCCCACATCCCCACCCCCAACCAACCACCCGCCCTCAACCTCACCCCCCATTTCAGTCGCCCCCTGGAACCGCACTCCCTCCACCCCTGTCTTCCTCCATACCTCTCCCAACCCACGATGGTCCCTGTACAGTCTTTCACAGGTGGGCTGCTGGGCACAGGTGGGGCTGCTGGTCACAGGTGGGGCTGCTGGTCACAGGTGGGGCTGCTGGTCACAGGTGGGGCTGCTGGTCACAGGTGGGGCTGCTGGTCACAGGTAGGGCTGCTGGTCACAGGTGGGGCTGCTGGTCACAGGTGGGGCTGCTGGTCACAGGTGGGGTTGCTGGTGCTGGTGCTGGCGGCTGGCGCTGGTGCTGGTTCCTGGTGCTGGCAGCTGGCACTGGGGCTGGTTCCTGATGCTGGCGGCTGGCGCTGGGGCTGGTTCCTGGTGCTGGCGGCTGGCGCTGGTGCTGGTTCCTGGTGCTGGCGGCTGGCACTGGGGCTGGTTCCTGGTGCTGGCGGCCGGCGCTGGGGCTGGTTCCTGGTGCTGGCGACTGGCGCTGGGGCTGGTTCCTGGTGCTGGCGGCTGGCGCTGGGGCTGGTTCCTGGTGCTGGCGGCTGGCGCTGGGGCTGGTTCCTGGTGCTGGCGGCTGGCGCTGGGGCTGGTTCCTGGTGCTGGCGGCTGGCGCTGGTGCTGGTTCCTGGTGCTGGCGGCTGGCGCTGGTGCTGTTCCGCCACCACTCCCTTCCCCTCCTCTCTCTCCTTTCCACAGCGTCCCACCGCCACTCCCTTCCCCTCCTCCCTCTCCTCCCCATGGCGACCGCCGCTGCACACGCAAACAGTCGCGACGGGGGGGGGGGGGGGGGGTGACGGGCAGGGGGCGGGGGGAATGCGACGGGCAGAGCGGGCGAATGAGCGGCTGGGGCGATCGCCAGTGCTCTGGCGATCGTCGCTGGCGTTCCCCCGTCACTCCTATCCCCTCTTCCCTCTCGCCCCCACAGAGTTCCGCCGCCACTCCCATCCCTTCTTCCCTCTCCCCCCCACAGCAACCGCCGGTGCGACGGGCGAGGTGCAAGGTGGCGCTGGCTGCAGTCGATGGCGCAAACGCGATCGCGGGCCGCTGGCGACTTCGCTGGCGACTTCGCTGGCGGGTCGCTGGCGGCGGGTCCGCTGGCGTTCGCCATAGCGTCCGCCGCGCCCGTCGCGCTGAGAGCCGCGACGAGGCAGGCGACGGGGGGCAGCGCGAGCAGCAGGGAAAAAAAAAAGATACGCAAGGTGCGGATTTCGCGCCACTAACTGTAGCAGTCGCGAAATGTGGTGGGCCCATAAACGAAATAGGTCCTAGGACGGACCACTCTGTTACCATGTCACGAGACGAACTTAGCTAGGAACGGGTTTAACTAAGGGCCTAGGCTTAGTAGCCTAGGCCAAGCGGGTGTCGAGGGAGTTGTGCCAAGAGAGAATCGAGAATGTGTGTCTTCACTATAGGTTTGCAAGAACATATAGCAAAGAAACAAAGAGGTGCACCACCACAACAAAGAAACATAACTACACTAAAGCTAAAGCTACAGGCAGTTATAAACATATATAAATATATATCGCGACAGCTGGGGGCAGCCTTAGCTGCTACTGGTTTTGCTGGGGGCAGCCAATGCTGCTGCTGGTGCGCTGGTGGCAGCCTATGCCGCTTCTGGTTCTGCTGGGGGCAGCCTACGCTGCTGCTGGTGCGCTGGGGGTAGCCTATGCTGCTGCTAGTGTGCTGGCGGCAGCCTATGCTGCTGCTGGTTCTGCTGGTTCTGCTGGTTCTGCTGGGGGCAGCCTACGTTGCTGCTGGTGCGCTGGGGGCAGCCTATGCTGCTGCTGGTGTAGCTGGCGGCAGTGTAATCGGCTGGGGCTACTGACGGCGGGTGTGGTAGATCGTGGGGAGGCAGGTTTCAGGTGGGGAAGCTGTTAAGGCAGCGGGCTACGGGTGAGGCGGCGGTTCTGTGCGGTTCTGTGCGGTTATGTGCAGTACTGTGCGGTTCTGTGAGGTTCAATGCGGTGGAGAGGACTGGGTGGGGCAGCTGATTCCGGGTGAGGTGCCTGGAACGGGTGGGGCAGCAGGTTTCCAGGTGGGGCGGCGGTTGTCAGGTCTGGGGCGGTGGTTTTCAGGTGGGGCGCGCGTGCGGCGAGCAGGACAGCGCGCGACGGCAGCAGCTCCTGGGGCAGTACGTACGGTTGGTGGGCCCTAACGGAGCGGTCCTACGGAGGGACCTACTCTGAATACCATTTCAGAAATAGAACGTAGGAATGATTGACTAGTAGGGAAGAGTGAGTACAAGTACTAGGAATGACCTAAGGTGTTGTACTCCTTAGAGTATGCCCCACTACAGCCTAAAGATAACAAATGCAATTTGACAGTATGCATATGGTCCATAACTGCAAACCGTCGCGGCGTTGCTGTAATGTTTGTCCGTAATATGATAACATGCGTTGCAAAACCTCATTGGTGCGCACTGGTGTTAACGCTCCACCGGATATGGAAGACTGGACCAATGTTGTGCACTAGCTTTGAGGCGCATAATGATGCACCACAGCGATGCGGTGCACCCTTTGCGTTGGTGGGGAACGAGGCGAGTCAATGCGTACCAACGCTCACACTATCGCGAACCAGTTCACCATCACCAGATGAACCCGGAGACATCCGTTTAGAAAACACCGCAAACCCACTCTGTTCGCCATCTCGCAACAGTGCCACTTATGCATCTCGGGAAGGACGTAGAGGTTGCATCGTCGGAATCCCAACTAGTAAACCACTGGGATAAAGGGGCTGGTTAAGTAGCTCGTGAGTGCGTCAATAGCCCTCCAGGCAAGCGTGCATGTAACCTTTCCCTTGGATCAATCGGGCATCCCCATTGCACGTCTCATGACACCCCCCCAATCACTGAAATGCCCTAGGAGACGGCACAGCGGCAATGCCAGCATGTGCGCACATGGGGATTCGAACCCGAAACCTTCACTCTGATACCATGTTAGAATTACAGCCAATAAACCACTGGGATAAAAGGGCTTGTTAAGTAGCGGGCTAGTCCGCCCATAACCCCCCCACGCAAGCATGCTGTAACACTTCCATAGGATCAATCGGGCATCCCCAGTGCAAGTCTTCTCACATACATCACCTCGTTTATGCTTAGGTGAAGGTGCAACTAAATGGTATCGCTGTTGCGGTTCCAACCAGACCCTCCAATTGGTTTTGGGGGAGGCTGAAAATCAGTGCTGTCCAACAAAAAGCAGATAAAAATGGCAATTCTACACCAGAAAATTACTGACAATTCGGAGGGAGAGAGAGAGAGAGAGAGAGAGAGAGAGAGAGAGAGAGAGAGAGAGAGAGAGAGAGAGAGAGAGAAAGAGTGAGGGGGCTGGAGTGAGAGGCCCCCAGATGGCGGTTCCTGGGCTAGGCACTAGGTAGGCCACATGGCTGCTCTGGCCCACTAGCGTGTTTATCACATGGTGTGGTTGCTTGCTCGTCTGCTGGCCTGTTAGATACATAGACTGCATGTGTAGAGTTGCTGATCCTATCTGTCAGAATGTGATGTTTGTGTAGCCTGCAGTGGGGTACTCTATAGCGAGTACAGCCCGAATTAGGGTTTGCTTTATGTACTCAACTGCATGCTAGTGAAAACCCTTCTTTCCTGTTTCTGATTCTTGCCTAGACTACTGACATGCTATCAGAGCAGGTCGACCCTCCTGGGTCGATCCTGTGGGTGGGCCCCACCCGATGCTTCCGCTGCTCTACTGCCTGTAGCGCGCCCCGGGCGCGTGCTGTTTCCTGCCTGCCGCGCGCTCCGGGCGCGCAGCGATTTTTCGTCCCGCCGCGCGCTCGGGGCGCGCGGCGGTTTTCTGCCCCGTCGAACCGCGCGTCGCCCCCTGTCGACCGTCGCGTCGCCCACCGTCGCCCGACGCGGCCCGCGCGACCTGCACCAGGCCCGCGCGCGGCCCGTACGGGCTGCGCCAGGCCCGCGCGCGGCCCGGGCAGCCCGCGTGCGGTTCGTCCCGAGCTTCTGACCGCGGTCCATCCCCACCCCCACTGCTGCCCGCGCTCCTGTGTTAGGGTCTGGGGGTGGAGAGTATGGGGGTGCCGGGTGTGTGAGCCGTCCCCTGCTCCTCCTCCTCCTCCGTCTCCCACTGCTGCAGCTGCCGCTGAGGGGGGTGGATGTGTTGGAGCCGTCGGAGTGGTATGAGGGGGGTGGCGTGTGAGCAGTGCTAGAGGTGCAGCACAGAGTGTGTGAAAGGGGTGTGGGACAGATGGGGGAAGTTGTGTGGAGGCAGTCGTCTTGTTGTCCGCAGCGCCTGACGTCCAGAGAGCCACGACCCCCTGTGGCCGTGTAGTCCGGGGCTCTGCGCCCGGTAGCCACAGTGTGAGCACTCCTGGTATCCAGAGAGCCACGACCCCCTGTGGTCGTGTAGTCCGGGGCTCTGCACCCGGTAGCCACAGTAGGAGCACAGCGAGCCAGCTGCGCCTGTCGCCGTGTAGTCCGGGTTTAGCCTGGTAGCGACAGTGCTGCGCACTCCTGTTGCCCGTGTGTCTGCAGCTTCAGCCGTCGTCTCGCATCTTCTCGCCCCCACAGTTTCTCCTCCTCCTCACTTGCCCTCTGTGATAGCCTCTAGTTTTGCTTATAATTGTGAACTACTGCTCTGCCGGCTTGTTGTGTTGATTGTACCCCACTTTGACTATGGGGGTGTGTCAGAATGTGATGTTTGTGTAGCCTGCAGTGGGGTACTCTATAGCGAGTACAGCCCGAATTAGGGTTTGCTTTATGTACTCAACTGCATGCTAGTGAAAACCCTTCTTTCCTGTTTCTGATTCTTGCCTAGACTACTGACACTATCATGCCCTGCCTGTACCCTTCTTATTATCAATGAAGGACTGCTTGAGAGAGAGAGAAAGAGAGAGAGAGAGAGAGAGAGAGAGAGAGAGAGAGAGAGAGAGAGAGAGAGAGCGAGAGAGGGAGAGAGAGAGAGAGAGAGAGAGAGAGAGAGAGAGAGAGAGAGAGAGAGAGAGGGAGAGAGAGAGGGAGAAAGAGAGAGAGAATAAGAGGAAAAAAAACGCTAAAAATCGCCTTCGTTGAAGAAAAAGTATGAACTTTTTTTTTTAACCTAAATCAACGATTTCACGCTGACTTCTGGGGGCCTAGTTCCAAAAACATCAACATAACTCTTGTTGTTAGAAAAACTTAGCGTGATTGGCGTGAGTTAAGAGAGAAGAAATGGGTTTCATTAAGAAGAAATGTACAAATATAGAATAGGGAAGGTGGCAACGGGGGGGGGGGGGTGCACCACCAACAAATAGAAAGCCTAACATGATACTACACTAACAGTTATGTATGCAGTTATATATAACAATGTTATTCTAATTTTGTTTCAACGTGCGCACCTAGCCTGAGCTGACGCGCACTTGTGCACACTAGTGTGATATGGTTCACTCAGTTTACTAGCTTTGCACCACGACGCAACCTCTTGGGGAACATGTTCTCCCACCTCCCTTTCTAGCCTCGTAAAGTCTGAGTATAGCATTGTTGTTCTCAAGTATAAGTTCCCTTAACTTAAATCATCAATAACAATACTAGGGACTGAATTTTCATCGTCAAACCTTTTTAGCGTCATTCTGGCACATTGGTGATGTCATTCAAGAAGTTAACATCCGCCATGAGGTACACATGAGCCTTGTCCTGCTCACTTCGCGCCTGCCGCTGCTCCACCTGCCGCCGCAGCCGCTCATGCTTCCACTACATCTGCCACAGCTGTACATGTCACCGCTGCACCCGGCTGCCGCTGCTGGCGCGTCATCTGCTGCTATTGGCGGTGTTCCCCTTTAGGGGGTGTTTCCTGCACAGTTTAGGGGGTATGTCATGTACCAATATGCATTTACTACCTTCAACATGGATGCTAGTGTAGTTATTCAACTGTTCGTGGTGCAACTCATTTGCCTACCTTTTGCCTGTGTATACGGTATAGGGCTCTTGCCATTTCTAATGGCCATATTTCTATTCTCAACTTCCTAAGCTTTCACACTTCTAGTTGGTATTTTGACAATTTTGCCCTGATACCTTAAGGTATGGTATGGTATGGTCTGGTGCATGCATATAATATATTCTTGATGTCCCATGTTCTATACGGAAAAAATACCATTATCTTCAGAATACAATACGACTAATAATATTATGAAAAAACAATGTTATTATTATCGTTTCAGCTAAGATATAAATTCTAGGTTTTTACCCCCTCATTTGTGATGATGTGTGTAGACATTATTACAAGAAAAATATCCAAAAGAATAGGTAGTTTACTAAGGTGACGTCAATGGGTGAAGGAGAATTTAAACAAGATGTAGTACGCCCAGCATATATATACATGTGAGGGCTGACTCGTTAATGACCCGAGTCAAGATCCTCAAATGAGAACCATACACGCATATAGCGGGTAATCCCAGAACACATATGTGCTGACGGCAAACCCTAGGTCAGGTAATCTCAAGGCTGTTCGTCTTCAGTCTAAGATAAAGCCTTCCTTGGCGATTTCTGGTGTCAGGCAGTCCTTCGAAAGCTGTAGCACGCACGGTCAGTCGCCTGTTGTTTAGGTTCTAAATGCTAATTGAACCTGAGTGATGTAGCATTCGTTGCTAAGGTAGTCAGAAATCGACGGGTTACTTTATCAGCAGGTGTCCTCGGTCAGTGACTGGAAGGATAGAGACTACTTTCGATGATCGTCCAGGTTGGTGCTGCACAATCCCAGGTTCTGAGCCGTTAATTTCCGTACTTTTTATAAACTCCTCCCATTCCTACCTTAACGTCAGTGCATTCGCCTGGCGAACCAGCCGACGCTGTCCCGGTCACATCTCCGCTTTTGCTGTCTTCTATATATACTAAGATAATTCTCTTAACAGCTGTCCTGATTCTGTCTGTGCTCCCGCAGAATGTCATCATGTCGCCAATGCTCTTCCCCATTGAGATTGGCCTGACACATTGGCGGTATTGCCGAACCACCATGGTCTAATCACATCCTCGCTCGAAACTGACAACAACCAGGCACCATCGCTAACATTGCTAGTCGGTTTGACGAGTTAGCGGTGCCGGTCGGTACCACGGCGGTGCTGATCGGTACCACCTCGGTGCTGGTGGGTACCACAAGTTAGCAGTGCCGGGGTTGCAGCGCTACCGCCATGGATGGCAAGCCTGTGCTGACAAAATGCGCGGGGAAGCGCTGGGAAAGCATCGGTTCCGCATCAACAACGTCTCAACCGCAGCCGACCACTTCTCACCCACAACCAGCCACCTCGCACCCACACCTATCCGATTCAGCGAATTCCGACTCCGAAAGCAGCAAGCCCAGCCGATCTCTCCTCTCCATTTTCCAGCGGGCTAAAGTTGGTGGTGGTAGCACCAGCACTGGTGGTGGTAGTCCTGCTCGCGGGACTGCTGGAGCTTCGGGAGGAGCCGCCACAGGCAAGAAGAAGGAAAGCAGATCGCCGGAGAGCAGCAATAGTCGTATCCCCGTTATAAGCTCTGCTCATTCCCGGTATACAGACGGGTTAGATTCTTCGCACGGCTCAAACGGAGCGAATGAGGATGCGTCGCAGCAAGCTGTTAGGTTGAGAGGGGCTGGCTCTGCGTCAGAACCGAATGAAGACTATGCGATTCCAGGCGGTAGCTCCCGCCCTTCCAGCGGTAGCAGCGCCAGCAACAGCACCAGCGCCAGCACCAGAAACAGCACCAGCGACAGCACCAGCAACAGCGGCAGGAACAGAATAAGCGACAGCAGCAACAACCCCTCCGTCTCCGGCAGTAGTGGTGCCTCCTCGCGGTTCTCTCTCTCCCCGCCTCGAGATCCGTACGGGGACGCGCGAAAGATCGCCACCCGCTACTGCGTCTGGGACGATCGGCACAAGGTCTGGTTCCGTTTCGAGGGCCAAAGCAGAGTCTACTGGAAAGTCGCAGCCGGCAAATCGCTTCACGAGGGTGAATGGGTCGCACTGCCTTATGAAGACGAACGACCGAAGGTGGACCTGGTCACTAGACCGGGTTTCAACGCGCCTGTACGAAGCTCCACGCGTAGCATCAGTCGGACAGCAAGCGGAGACGTCGGCGCGGGGAAGAGCAGCGCGGGCGCGGAGGACGGGGAGAGGCGGAGGCGGCCGGAGTCTATGTCAGGCGGGGGCCGCGGGGGTAGTGACTCCGCCAACGCGTGGAGTTTCGTGAAGGAGCAGGAGCTTACGACGGACACGGAGCAGGAGCTGAAGGCGTTGCAAGCAGGCCCGGATCCCAGCCTCGCGTCGTTGCATGTGTCCAAGTCCTTCCCGCCGGAGGTGGGGAAAGCAGCAGCGGCGAGCGCGGCAGGCGTGGTGGGGAGGGTGAACCTGGGGAACCTGCAGCCGCTGCCAGTCGCGCCCCCTACCGTGCCATCTGGGGCGTCTTCTCCGCGTAGCGGCCCGTCCACGCCGCCTGAACCGTCGGCCATGGGAGCTGCAGGAAGAGGAGGATTAGGAGGAGCAGGAGGAGCAGGAGGATTAGGAGGAGCAGGGCTGTATGGTTCGTCCCCTGCGAAACAGCCGTTGGAGCACAGGTCTCCCCATTCGCACACTTTGTCGCCAGACAGACGGGTTCTAGCCTCCAACCCCCTGCCCCTCCCTCCCGCTAGACAAGTAGGCGCGCTGGGCTCAGGGCCAATGGCCGTGAGAATGGAAGCACCGGCGCCAGGTGTAGGCCCAGGTGTTGGGTCAGGTGTAGGGTCAGGTGTAGGATCAGGTGTAGCAGCAGCACCAGGGCCGTACGGCAAGGAGCCCTTGACGTCAAACCCGCCTGTCCGTGCGCTCTTCCCCGTGCATTCCTCTCCTTCTCGGGACCTCGAAGCTGTTTCCGTGAACCATCCGCCGTCACACGAGGCTCCGCCGTCAATCCTCGTAGGCCGGGGAGCAGCAGGGGGCGTGGGCGGTGCTGCTGCTGGTGCTGGTGGCACCGGTAGTGCTGGCGGGTTTGGTCGTGCTGATGGTGGGTTTGGTGGTGGTGATGGTGGGTTTGGCGGTGGTGGGGGAAGTGGGGGTGTGAGTCCGCTGGCGCGTGGGAGGTCCGTGTCTACGTCTGGAGCGCCCGTTGCTGTATTCGGCGGCGGATCCCAGGGGCACAGCCCGCGCACTCCGGCGCTCTCTCCCATGGAAGGCGCTGTAGCACCTGTAGCACCTGTAGCACCTGTAGCAGCTGTAGCAGCTGTCGCCTCCTCCTCAGCAGCCACTTCCCCGTCTGGTCACTACAATATGTCCCCGCCAGCAGGGGTGCCGTTTGCTGGTCCGCCCGTTGCCCGGAACTCTGCTGCTTTGAATCGGCAAGGGAGTGGAGGGATGGGTGGGGGGTTTGGAGGAGGGATGGGAGGGGCGGTTGGGGCAGGGATGGGCGGGAATATGGGCGGAGGAATGGGAGGAATCATGGGCGGAGGAATGGGGGGTAACATGGGCGTAGGTATGGTGGGAGGAATGGGCGGAGGAATGGGGGGCAACATGGGCGGAGGAGTGGGGGGAGGAATGGTTGGGGGAGTGGGGGGAGGAATGGTTGGGGGAGTGGGGGGAGGAATGGGCGGAGGAATGGGCGGAGGAATGGGGGGAGGGATGAGCGGAGGAATGGGGGGAGGAATGGGCGGAGGAATGGGGGGAGGGCTGATAGCTCCAGGATCAGGAGGAATGACGTCACCAGGAGGCATGATGACGCCACCAGGAGGCATGATGACGCCACCAGGCGGCATGATGACGCCACCAGGAGGAGGTATGGCAACGCCACCCGGAGGAGGTATGGCAATGCCACCCGCCAGCAGCTCCAAGCTCTCAACTCGATCCGCGTCCCCCTTGCGAATCAAGCCTGGCGTGGCCAAGCTCGAGCCCCTCCCAATCTCCATCACCAAATCCCCTGTTGCCTCCCCTAGAGCAGCTACGGACAGGCCGCCGCTGCCCTTTGAACCTTCTCAGAACTCTCAGAATCCGTTGTTTCCCAAGTCGGCAAGCCAAACGTCCACCCCCGGCCAGGTGTCGAGAGTCGGCTCGATGAATGATGGGCACGGGAGGGATGTTGTTGGGCTAGCCGGGGGAGCAGGGTTCGGGCAGAATTTCGGGCAGCCGCAGCCAGGGCAGCAATTAGGTCAGCCGTTTGGGCAGTCAGGGCAGCAATCAGGGCAGCAATCAGGTCAGCAGTTGGGGCAGCAATCAGGTCAGCCGTTTGGGCAGCAGTCAGGGCAGCAGTCAGGGCACCAGTTAGGGCAGCATTCAGCGCAGCAGTTAGGCCAGCCACTAGGGCAGCAGGTGCAGCAGCAGCTGGGGAGAGAAGGCATGCTTCCCTGGCAGCAATTTCCCAAATCATCCAGTCAAAGTTCAAACCCCGACTCTTCCCAACCTTGGCACCAGCAGCAGCATCAGCAGCAGTACCAACAGCAGCAGCAGCCGCAACAGCAGTACCCGCAACAGCAGCAACAGCAGTTTCAGCCACCGCCGTTCCCCCGAACCTCCAGCCAAACCTCTTCCCACTACCCAACCTCCCCAGGCCAGGCGTCCACCCCTGGGAACCTCTCCAGGGGAGGTTCCACTAACGAGGGCTCCATGCTCGTCCCTCCAGGAGGCTCTCCTATAGTCACAGCAGCAGGCGCTGGAGCAGAAGCTGCCGGGGAGGAGGAGGGGGACGCGTTCGTGCCTCAGAGGGGAAGGTGGAAGAAGGGCAGCAGGATAGGGTCGGGAGGATTTGGGTCCGTGTACAAAGGAAGTGACATGTAAGTAACTCCAGGCAGCTTCGATGCTGGTTTAAGTCAAGCTTTCAGAAAGAGGAGAATTGCGACCATCTTTCCCTCATATTCTTTTATGCTACATGGTTGTCTCTTTGTTCGCGCACAACCTTGCTTCTCCCTCCCCCCTTGCTACCTCGTCTGCAGCGATACATCACGTGTGTTTGCGGTCAAGGAGGTCAACATCTCGGACCATAACTCTATCTCTCAGCTCGTGCAGGTGCGTGGCCTTTAGTGTCATGTGTGTATGCATGTGTTTGAGAAGGGGGTTGGGTGTGGATGTGGGTGGGTGGGCGGGTGGGTGGGTGTGGGTGTGGGTGTGGGTGTGGGTGTGGGTGTGGGTGTGGGTGTGGGTGTCGGGGTGTGTGGGTGAGTGGTGTGGGTGCATGCGCGCACATGCATGGTGTTCACACATGTGTCTGGGCCCCTGAGCACGCTTGCTTGGACAAGAACCGCTTCGTCTTCCATTTTCTCATCCATTCTTGATGTTCTCTCTTCTCCCTCCATTCCCTCCAATGTTTCCCACAATTCTCGCACTCTCATACACACACGCACGTGCACATAGTGCACATGTACGTGGTCGGTCAGAGACACACGTATGCAAACACTCACACACAGATGCACACATGCTGCGTTCTCACTCAATGAATAATTTTCCACACCCCCCATCCTCCTTCCTCCTCCCGTTCTCCTCTCTCCCACACTCTCTCCACTTTATCGGATCGCAGGAGATTGACACGTTGAAGAAAATGCGTCACAAGCGCATCGTCCGATACCTGGGCTCGGAAACTGTGAGTCCATGGCTTGCTTTGCATGTCTGCTTTTGATCTCGTGACTTCTATGGTTTGAGTTTACACGTTGAAGAAAATGTGTCACAAGCGCATTGTTCGATATCTGGGCTCAGAAACTGTGAGTTTTGGTTAGCATAGCTGCTTCTAGTCTCGTGAGTTTGGTTAGCATAGCTGCTAGTTTCTAAATACTCACAAGCAGATACATGTCCGATACGATACCTGTGCTTGAAAGCTTTGAGTTTGTTTCGTGGCTTATTTGTGCTGCTGCGTTGTTGTTGTTTGTTTGTTTGTTTGTTTGTTTTTTTCCTTCTTTTCTTCTTCTTATCTTTTTTTTTTTCTCTCACAACTGCTGTGTCATGTCCCCTCGTCTCTCAACCCATCCTCACTGCGATTTTCCTCCCCTCTCCCCTCAGGACGACAAGTGCATGTACCTCTTTCTCGAGTACATGGACACGTCCCTCTCAAAATACCTGGAGGACTTTAGCCCCTTGGAGGAGCACCACTTGCCACTATCCCCACTCGAACTACCTTCTTAATGTTCATTCCCCCCCTCCCCTCCCCTCCCCTCTTCTGTCTTCATCAGGACGACAAGTTCATGTACCTCTTTCTCGAGTATATGGACACGTCTCTCTCCAAGTACCTGGAGGACTTCGGCCCCTTGGAGGAGCACCAGGAGCACCACTTGTAATACATTCTAATGTCTGTCCCGTGGCCCTCCTGTCTTCTCCCCCATCGCAACCCTTCTCTCCTCCCCCGCCAGGACGACAAGTGCATGTACCTCTTTCTCGAGTACATGGACACATCTCTGTCTAAATACCTGGAGGACTTTGGCCCCTTGGAGGAGCATCAGATTGCCAAGTACACTCGCCAGCTGCTGGAGGGGCTGGCGTACCTGCATGACAACAACATCGTGCACCGGTGGGTGGGGGTGGGTTGGGATTGGTTGCACAGATGCGTGGCTAGGCGGGGTTTCGAAAGGAAAGGGGGGAGTGGACAAAGGGGGTGCAGCTGCTGGTGGAGCTGGCATACCTGCATGACAACAACATCGTGCACCGGTGGGTGGGGATTGGTTGCACAGATGCGTGGCTGGGCGGGGTTTCGGAATGGAAGGGGGGATGGAAAGGGGGTGTAGCTGCTGGAGGGGCTGGCGTATCTGCACGACAACAACATTGTTAATTGGTGAGTGGGAGGGTGGGTGGGTGTGGGGTTGGTAGGAGTTGTTGGGTAGGGCTGGCTTTTAAGATGACTGAGAAGTCACACGGAGGAGCATCAGATCGCCAAGTACACTCGCCAGCTGCTGGAGGGGTTGGCGTACCTGCATGACAACAACATCGTGCACCGGTGGGTGGGTTAGTAGGGTGGTGTGCGGTTGAGGTGGGTGGAAGGTAGGGCTGCTAGCTGGAGGGGCTGGCGTACCTGCATGACAACAACATCGTGCATCGGTGGGTGGGGATGGATGGATGACAGTTGTTGGGGAGAATAGAGGGTTAGGGGTTGGCTTGTGGGTCGACTTGGAAGTCACCTGGCGGACTTCAATTTCTTGGAGGAGCACCAGATCGCCAAGTACACTCGCCAGCTGCTGGAGGGGCTGGCGTACCTGCATGACAACAACATCGTGCACCGGTGGGTGGGGATGGATGGATGACAGTTGTTGGGGAGAATAGAGGGTTAGGGGTTGGCTTGTGGGTCGACTTGGAAGTCACCTGGCGGACTTCAATTTCTTGGAGGAGCACCAGATCGCCAAGTACACTCGCCAGCTGCTGGAGGGGCTGGCGTACCTGCATGACAACAACATCGTGCATCGGTGGGTGGGGATGGATGGATGACAGTTGTTGGGGAGAATAGAGGGTTAGGGGTTGGCTTGTGGGTCGACTTGGAAGTCACCTGGCGGACTTCAATTTCTTGGAGGAGCACCAGATCGCCAAGTACACTCGCCAGCTGCTGGAGGGGCTGGCGTACCTGCATGACAACAACATCGTGCACCGGTGGGTGGGTGGAGGGTGGGGGGGAGGGTGGGGAATTGGGGGAGGATGAAGGTCTGTGTGGTCGAAGCTGCTGGAGGGGCTGGCGTATCTGCATGACAACAACATCGTGCACCTGTGGGTGGGGGTGAGCGTTTCTGGGAAGATAGAGGGTTAAGGGCTGGATCTCAAGTCAAGTCAGAAGGCCTCTCGCCAGCTGCTGGAGGGGTTGGCATACCTGCATGACAACAACATCGTGCACCGGTGGGTGAGGATGGGGAAGGAGAGGAGGAGTGGAAAGAGTGGGAAAGGATAGAAGGTTGTGAGTTAGGGCGTGTAACCATTTTTCCCCCGACGGTTCGAACCGTGGACCGCCCGGTCGACGAAACGGTTCCTAGTTTCGCTTTTTCTCGTTAAGATGTTCGTGAATGCTTGTGCGACATCGTTAACAATTCGAACCGTGGTGACACTTTTTCCTTCTTTCAACGGTTCAGAATGTGAACCGCGGACAGTCCGAAACCAAAACGGACAGTCCGCCAGTCCTGGCTCGAGATTGGCGGGCGAAACCCAACCTACAGTACCTCTACCGATTGGCAGACGAAATTAGATTACGATCTGTCGCGGACAAAGTTACGAGGATATACCGCCTCTAACGAGGCTACAGTGCTCGCCAAAATTACGAGCAGGCAAAAAGTGTTAATTTCCTATCCGAACGGGGGCAAAGTACCGAAGCATCAAAACGGACGGTTCTGTTCTCATTAGTTGGACCGTCCGTTTCAAAATATGAGGACCGTCCGCAAAAACGCAAAAAAATCAAAATGGTTACACGCCCTTAGGGGCTTGAGAGTGGGCGGTTGAAAACGGGACAGCTCCTGGAGTGGTTGGCGTACCTGCATGACAGCAGCATCGTGCACCGGTGGGTGGGGATTTTTGAGTCGACTCAAAAGACGACTTTTTGTGTCGTGTGCCATTGTAACGAGGTGACTTTTGATTGGACTCAAAAGTCACCTGGAGTGGTTGGCGTACCTGCATGACAACAACATCGTGCACCGGTGGGTGGGGATTAGTTGCACAGCTGCACAGGTGTGTGGCTGGGCAGGGTTTTGGAAGGAAAGGAGGAGTGGGGTGGACTAAGGGGAACAGGGTGGGTGGTCGGGTTGGTGGGCACTTGGATTCAGATGAGTGGGACAATTTTTGTTTGTGGCCTCTGCTGTATTTTTTGAAGTGTTTTTCTTGCTGTCTTCTGTTTTTTTCCCCTCAACCTTCAGAGACGTGAAGGGAAAAAACATTCTGCTGGATACCAAGGGAAACGCTAAGCTGGCTGATTTCGGGGTAGCGAAATACGTAAGTCATTTATCTCAACGCCTCCCTTTCCCTCATCCCCCCTCCCCTTCCCCTCTCCCCCCGACCAATCCCCCCCTCACTTCACCCTCGTTATTCCCGTTATTTCCCCTCGTTCTCCCACACTGTCTTGTTTTTCTTTCCCTTTCCATTCCTTTTTCCTCATGCTCCTCTATCATATCAAACATCTCACACCAATAACATCCCACATCCCCGTACCCCATCGCCCAAATCCCACATACACTGCATGGCACATGGGCAGGTGGAGACGCCAGAAGATATGTCAGGCATGCGCGGCACAGTGTGGTGGATGGCACCTGAGGTGAGTTGGGGAGTCCCGTTGATGTCTGCTGTTTTGTAGAGCGTGTGAGTACTGGCAGTGGTTGGTTGTTGCATGCGCGGCACAGTGTGGTGGATGGCACCTGAGGTGAGTTGGGGAGTCCCGTTGATGTCTGCTGTTTTGTAGAGCGTGTGAGTACTGGCAGGGGTTGGTTGTTGCATGCGCGGCACAGTGTGGTGGATGGCACCTGAGGTGAGTTGGGGAGTCCCGTTGATGTCTGCTGTTTTGTAGAGCGTGTGAGTACTGGCAGTGGTTGGTTGTTGCATGCGCGGCACAGTGTGGTGGATGGCACCTGAGGTGAGTTGGGGAGTCCCGTTGATGTCTGCTGTTTTGTAGAGCGTGTGAGTACTGGCAGTGGTTGGTTGTTGCATGCGCGGCACAGTGTGGTGGATGGCACCTGAGGTGAGTTGGGGAGTCCCGTTGATGTCTGCTGTTTTGTAGAGCGTGTGAGTACTGGCAGTGGTTGGTTGTTGCATGCGCGGCACAGTGTGGTGGATGGCACCTGAGGTGAGTTGGGGAGTCCCGTTGATGTCTGCTGTTTTGTAGAGCGTGTGAGTACTGGCAGTGGTTGGTTGTTGCATGCGCGGCACAGTGTGGTGGATGGCACCTGAGGTGAGTTGGGGAGTCCCGTTGATGTCTGCTGTTTTGTAGAGCGTGTGAGTACTGGCAGGGGTTGGTTGTTGCATGCGCGGCACAGTGTGGTGGATGGCACCTGAGGTGAGTTGGGGAGTCCCGTTGATGTCTGCTGTTTTGTAGAGCGTGTGAGTACTGGCAGTGGTTGGTTGTTGCATGCGCGGCACAGTGTGGTGGATGGCACCTGAGGTGAGTTGGGGAGTCCCGTTGATGTCTGCTGTTTTGTAGAGCGTGTGAGTACTGGCAGTGGTTGGTTGTTGCATGCGCGGCACAGTGTGGTGGATGGCACCTGAGGTGAGTTGGGGAGTCCCGTTGATGTCTGCTGTTTTGTAGAGCGTGTGAGTACTGGCAGTGGTTGGTTGTTGCATGCGCGGCACAGTGTGGTGGATGGCACCTGAGGTGAGTTGGGGAGTCCCGTTGATGTCTGCTGTTTTGTAGAGCGTGTGAGTACTGGCAGTGGTTGGTTGTTGCATGCGCGGCACAGTGTGGTGGATGGCACCTGAGGTGAGTTGGGGAGTCCCGTTGATGTCTGCTGTTTTGTAGAGCGTGTGAGTACTGGCAGGGGTTGGTTGTTGCATGCGCGGCACAGTGTGGTGGATGGCACCTGAGGTGAGTTGGGGAGTCCCGTTGATGTCTGCTGTTTTGTAGAGCGTGTGAGTACTGGCAGTGGTTGGTTGTTGCATGCGCGGCACAGTGTGGTGGATGGCACCTGAGGTGAGTTGGGGAGTCCCGTTGATGTCTGCTGTTTTGTAGAGCGTGTGAGTACTGGCAGTGGTTGGTTGTTGCATGCGCGGCACAGTGTGGTGGATGGATCCAGAGGTGAGCCTGGAGTTCATTTCAGGTGTGGCATGGGGTGATATTAGCAAGCGGTACTTGTGGCATGGGGTGATATTAGCAAGCGGTACTTGTGGCATGGGGTGATATTAGCAAGCGGTACTTGTGGCATGAGGTTTTTGTTTCACACCTCAATGTTTTGCTCCAGTTTGAAATTCCTGCTTCATCCATCCGAACCCTGCCTACCCGCTTCACTGGCCTGCTCCCCCCTCAGGTGATCAAGAGGCGGCCGGACGGGTACAACTGGCCGGTGGACATCTGGAGTCTCGGCTGCACCGTCATTGAGATGGCCATGCGGGTTGTGAGCAAGCGCCTAATCACCTCAACCCCTTCACACCCCTCTCCACACCTCCCCACACCTCCGCTCCCCTCCCAGGTGATCAACCATAAGCCGGAGGGGTACAACTGGCCGGTGGACATCTGGAGTCTCGGCTGCACCGTTATCGAGATGGCCATGCGGGTCGTTGATAAACGCCTGCGCATCCCCTGGCTTGACATCGAGGGCAAGCCGCCCTGGGGGGAATCGCCTACTAACGGAGTAAGATAAACTGATGGGGTAAGGCTCTGAGTCGACTCAGGAGTGAGGGTTGTCGACAATCGTCTGCGCATCCCCTGGCTTGACGTCGAGGGCAAGCCGCCCTGAGGGGAATCGCCTACTAACGGAGTAAGATAAACTGATGGGGTAAGGCTCTGAGTCGACTCAGGAGTGAGGGTTGTCGACAATCGTCTGCGCATCCCCTGGCTTGACGTCGAGGGCAAGCCGCCCTGAGGGGAATCGCCTACTAACGGAGTAAGATAAACTGATGGGGTAAGGCTCTGAGTCGACTCAGGAGTGAGGGTTGTCGACAATCGTCTGCGCATCCCCTGGCTTGACGTCGAGGGCAAGCCGCCCTGAGGGGAATCGCCTACTAACGGAGTAAGATAAACTGATGGGGTAAGGCTCTGAGTCGACTCAGGAGTGAGGGTTGTCGACAATCGTCTGCGCATCCCCTGGCTTGACATCGAGGGCAAGCCGCCCTGGGGGAAATCGCCTACTAACGGAGTAAGATAAACTGATGGGGTAAGGCTCTGAGTCGACTCAGGAGTGAGGGTTGTCGACAATCGTCTGCGCATCCCCTGGCTTGACGTCGAGGGCAAGCCGCCCTGAGGGGAATCGCCTACTAACGGAGTAAGATAAACTGATGGGGTAAGGTTCTGAGTCGACTCAAGAGTGAGGGTTGTCGACAATTGTCTGCGCATCCCCTGGCTTGACGTCGAGGGCAAACCGCCCTGGTGAGTGTCGCCTACTGACGGGGTAAGCTGAACTGATGGAGTAAGGTTCTGAGTCGACTCTTAGGAGTCAGTTTCTTAGGGAGAATTACAATCGTCTGCGCATCCCCTGGCTGGACGTGGAAGGCAAGCCGCCCTGGGGGGGGTCGCCTACTGACGGGGTAAGCTGAACTGATAGGCGTTAGTCACTGAGTCAGACTCAAGAGGCCCATTGTTAGGGTTTTCCACACACAAGCGCCGCCTGCGCATCTCGTGACTGGACGTTGAAGGCAAGCCACCCTGGGGGGCGTCACCTACTGATGGGGTGAGAATCTAGTCGACACGGCCTCTCGCCTTTCCCTCCCCTCTCCCTCCCCTCTCCCTCTCTCTCCCTCCTCGCCCCTCTTCCAACCCATTTGGCGGCTATCCCAAGCTCCACAAGCTCGCCGCCCATCCCCAACCACCTCTCAGACTGCGCAGAGGACTTCCTCCGCCACTGCCTCGCACTCAACCCCTCCTGCATTCCCACCCTTACCCCCTTCCGCTCCCCCAGATGGCAGCTATCCTGCGGATAGGCGGCACCACTGCCCCCCCGCCCATCCCCAGCCATCTCTCAGACTGCGCCAAGCACTTCCTCCGCCACTGCCTTGCAGTCAACCCCTCCTGCCTTCCCCCCTCCCTTCCCTTCCGTGCCCTTTCCTCCCCTCTCTCCTCCCCCTCCCCTTTCGCCTTGGCCTCCCGTCTTGCCTCTCCTTCCTCTACCTTCTCTTTGTCAGAATCCCAGCCACTAGACCACTGGGATAAAATGGCTTGTTAAGTAGCGGGTCAGTGCGCCCATAACCCCCCAGGCCAACGAGCCTGTAACCCTTCCCTAGGACCAATCGGGCATCCCCAGTGCAAGTGTTCTGACACTCTTCCCTCTCGCCTCTCCCCCCGCCCCCCTTCCCCCTGCCCCCCTTCCCCCTGCCCCTCCCCCAGATGGCGGCTATTCTGAGAATAGGCGGCGCCACAGCCCCCCCGCCCATCCCCGACCACCTCTCAGACTGTGCCAAGGACTTCCTCCTTCACTGCCTCGCCGTCAACCCCGCCCACCGCCTGAGAGCGCACAAGCTCATGCAGCATGTGTTCGTCGCAGGGCCAGTGCCCGTGGGGGTGGGGTTGAGCGGCGGAGGCATGAGCAGCGGAGGCATGAGTTCGGGTCATATGGACGCCCCTCGCTCTCCCAGGTAAGCTCCTCCCACCGCCTGAGAGCGCACAAGCTCATGCAGCATGTGTTCGTCGCAGGGCCAGCGCCATTGGGGCCCATTCCCATGCCCGTAGGGGTGGGGATGAGCGGTGGAGGCATGAGCAGTGGAGGCATGAATAGCGGAGGGATGAGCAGTGGAGGCATGAGTTCGGGTCATTTGGACGCTCCTCGCTCCCCCAGGTAAGCTCCTCCCACCACCTGAGAGCGCACAAGCTCATGCATCATCTGTTTGTTGCAGGGTCGGTGGGGCCCAGTCCCATGCCCGTAGGGGTGGGGATGAGTGGTGTGGGCATGAGTGGTGGAGGTATAAGCAGTGGAGGCATGAGTTTGGGTCAGCTGGACGCTCCTCGCTCCCCCAGGTAAGTCCATGCACTCCCCTCCCTCCTTCCCACCAGGTAAGCCTATGCACCCGTTCTTGCTGCTTCTCCTGCTGCCCGCTGAGTGATCATCTCTGCTTCTCCTTGGTGATTCTTCCCTCTCCCTCCCTCGGTTCTCATTCTTCACCCTCCCTCTGCTCTCTCTCAACCCATTTCTCCCAGGTCTGTGTCCTCTCAGCCCTCCTATCCTTCCCCGTGGGAGCAACCGGCATACCATCAACAGCAGCAACAGCAACAGCAACAGCAGCAGTATCAGCAGCAACAACAGCATCAACAACAGCAGCAGCAGCAGCAGCAGCAACAACACCTCAATTATCATCAGCAGCAAAACCTGTCTTGGCGTGAGTCTGGTCCGATTTCATCCGGCCCCTCACCCTCCATGCCTCCTTCCTCAGGCCCGGCACTGTCCGGACCTGGCATGTACTCCGGCCCTGCTGCCGGACCTGGCAGGCACGGATGGAGAGACGACATGGCTGCCCGGGATTACAGCGCCGGACCTCCGTATTTTCCAGGCTCGGCAGCAGGCTTGGTGGCAAACGGGGGTGGGAGGATGAGTCCTCAGTATATGTATTCCAGAGAGCAGAACAGCAGTGGGTTTGGGCTAGGGGAAAGAGGTGGAGGAGGAGGGGGAGGAGGGGGAGTGATACCACCAGCTAGAACCCGCAGCAGCCCCACTGTTGATCTGAGAGAGATGGCCGATCATGCACAAGCTTTTCTCACTGGTAACGATGCTGGTGCCGGTGCTGGCAGTGGGGCTTTTGCTGCTGGTGTTGGTGCCGGGAGTGCTAGAAACGGACCAGAGCCAGAGTTTGGTGGCAGTGGCAGTGGCGGCGGCGGTGGTAGGGGTGACCCAGAGCCTGTCTTTGGTGGCAGTGGCAGCGGCGGCGGCGGCGGTGGTAGGAGGGATCCAGAGCCTTTGTTTCCATCAGGGCCTGCAGCCTCTGCTGTTGGTGGTGCTGGTGGTGGCAGTGTGGGTGGTATGGCTGGTAATGGTGGCCCGGAGCCGTTGTTCCGAGGCTCTGGTGGTGGTTCGGGCCCCGAGCCTCTCTTCTCCGCCAGCAGCACTGCAGCTTCCAGCGCTAGTGGTAGAAGCCATTCAGGTTCGGGCCCCGAGCCTCTTTTCCCGAGCCAGGACAACCGAACCTCACCTCCTCCTCATCACCAGTACCAGCAGCAGCAGCAGCAGATGCCTCTCGATCGCACACGCAGTCCCACATCTAATGAGTTACAACACGTGGGAAGCACAGGCAGCAGCAGCAACAGCAGTATTAATTACACTGTCAAATCCCCGTCTACGAGCAAGCCTAAATCCCTCTCCGGCCCTCTCACGCCGCCCCGCCGCCGCCCGGGCAGAGAGTCAGGACGCACATACAGCCATGGAATGCCGGCCCTTCCGGACCAAGCGGCTTACCTGGAGGAGAGTGAAGGGGCGGGGGATCGGCCATATAGCGGTGGTAGGAGATCGTTGGGGGGAGAGCAAGATGGGTATTCATCGTATGACCGAGAGAGAGAACGAGAGAGGGAGCAGGATAGGGAAAGGTGGGAGAGGGAGAGGGAGAGGGAGCGCGAGAGGGAAGGGTATAACCAGAGGCGAATGTCTCCTGAACCGGATTCTGGTGGCTATGGTCCCACTGGTTCTCTTCCCTATCATCACCAGAACTCTCAGCAGCAGCAGCGGCAGCAGCAGTATGGTGGGTTGGAACAACGGCAGCCTGTACAGGATCAGCTTATATCGAGACGGTCTCCTGAGCCGTCCTCTCCTCGATCACCCTCAAGCTACGGGCGAGCGAAGCCTTTGTTCCCCGATGGTGACATGGGTGGGGGTGGTGTTGGCAGTGGCAGTGGCGGCAGCAGCAGTAGCGGTGGTGGGTTTGGTGCTGCTGCTGCTGGTGGTGGTGGGGGTGGGGGTGGGGGTGGAGGGATGTATGGGGCCCCGCATGGCCTTTCTCCTCCTCCTCAGATGGTCGTCAGGGGGAGCAGTGCGGATGGGTATGGCAGCGGTGGAGATGGGTATGGCAGCGGTGGGGATGGGTACCGCGGTGGTGGCGATGGGTTTGGTGGTGGAGGGCCAGTGGGGCATTGGAATCAGAGGTAAGATGCTCTCCTTGCTTCTTCTCTTGTTTCCTCTTGTCTCCTTCTGTCTCCCTTTGACTTATTTCGTCTCCTTTTGCCTTTCGGGGTGTCTCTTTTGTGTGGCTTGATCACTCCACCCCACCTCTACCTCATCCCTCCGCTTTATTTGCATCTCATCTCGCTCCTGGTCCTTCTGTCTTGCCTTTCTCCCCGTATGCCTTTCTCCCCGTATCCTTCCACCTATTATCCCCCCTCGTTCTCATCCGCAATCCTGATCTACCTTCCACCTTTCTCCCCCGCCCATCACCCTGAGCAGAGACGCTTCTCCACACCGAGCCTCCTCCCTCTCCATCCCTCCTCATGACCGCCCCCACAACTTCCCCCTGCAAGGCCCCCACACGGCTCCCTTGCACCAGTCCCCCAGCCAGTACCCCTACTCTTCCCAGCAAAACCCCTACCACCACCCCCAACCGCAGCAGAACCCCTCTTATCCCCAGAGGTCTTACGACCACTACCCACCACCGCCGCCTAACCAGTACCCGCAGCAGATGTGGCAGGGTGGGGGAGGGGGAGGGGGAGGGGGAGGAGCAGGGGGGGGAGGGGGGCGGATGGGGGGTGGGTGGGAACAGGGGGCAGAGGGTATGGGCGGGTATGGGTCTTCACCTCAAGTTTCTGGTGGTGGTGGGGGGGGTTATTCTGGTGGTATGCGCGGGGACATGAGAGGAGGTATGGGCCCAGGCATGGTAGCAGGTTCGGGATCAGGTATGGGTCCAGGTTCGAGGCCAGGTTCGGGAGCTGGTATGGGCTCCGGACCAGGCCCAGGTGTGGGTCCTCAGGGTTTCAATGGTGGCGGCGGTGGTGGTGGTGGGAATGGCACTGGTGGTGGGTATGGTGGTGATTATATGGGGCAGCCTGTAGGGCTGGGGGGAATTGGAAGAACTCTCTCTACAGGGGAGTGGGAGCAGCGGCAGCATTCAAATCAGTACATGAACCAAAGCTACAGTAACACGCCGATATCTAATAGTTACAATGTGGGGGGAGGAGCTGGGGGAAGGTATAATAACGGTCCAGGTTCAATGTATGGAGGAGGGCGTGGGGGTTCCTCAGTTCCTCCTCAGCAGTACATGCAGCAGTCGCACTGGCAACAACCTGGGCATGAGCAATTGCATGGGTCGGGAGGAAGTGGTAACATTGGTAACAGTGGCAACATTGGCAATAGTGGGGATTTAGGCAGGACGGGATCTGCATGGCAGCAGTACCAGGCTAGGAGGGCATCGCATGGTATGCACCCGCAGCAGCAACACCAGTGATTTGCTGTAGTATTTATTTCTAGCTGAAGTGGTGAATAAAGAAGATGTCATGCAGCGTTTCGAAATCGAAGAGAAAATTGGTAGGTGTCTCAATATCTGGGGTTTTCTTAGAACATAATGTTTCTGGTCTGTTTCTGGTCTGTGAAGTGAAACTGTGTTCTTGTATTAGCATATACTACTTTGTTGTCGTCCAAAAATAGTTACAGCTCCTTTGATTGCCCTGTAACGTGCGACATTCTCAAGCCTCTCGGAATTCGCGAATCTAGCAGAGAGCCATCTGCTTCCCCCACCCGTGAATTGCTCTTACGAAACGGGTGTCCCCAAAGGTTCATTTCTCTTAAAACCAGGGTGCACATTCATTCCAATTTCATCAAAGGTTATCCCTTGACCGGCCGAGTTACGGCGTTTCCCGACTGTGGAGGTGGGGGAAACAATTTCTTGCTTAGCGGAAGAAAGCGGAGTGGTTCAGAGTGGTATTCCCCCCTCAATTTCCCCCAATCCAATTTCCCACACATCTTGACGGACACATCGAATGTTTGTGTACTTCTTTCTCGACCTGCCTATTCTTACTAGTAGTGATAGGCAGCACGTTACTAGCGTAGACCGCCCCATTTCCTCGCGATATGGATTTCGTCTGGCGATTCTCTGCTCGCCTGACCACGTCGCACCCGCCACTTCGGCGCTGCACGAGGCGCATAATGGGGTCGAGAGTTAGGGTTACAAGCAAGGAACTCGTCGCGTATTCTCAGCCGCGACGAGAATACTACAAGCGTAATCTGACAAAGGAACCCCGCCTCCCATCCCGTATTCATCTCGCTGACCTTCACTAAAAAAAGTGCGGCCCCAAGGCCGCGCCTACAGCTAGTGTGCGCTCCGCGTCATTGAAGGAACGCGTCGGCAGCGTCTCCCCTCCTCCTCGCCTCCGCGCCACCTCATTACCTCGCTGCCTCGCCTCCGCGCCTCCGCGCCTCCTCGCGGTAGCGCCACCTCCCCACCTCGCCTCCGCGCCTCTTCGCGGGAGCGCCACCTCGCCTCCTCGCCTCCACGCCAAGTTTCCACCCCGCCAGCACGCCACCGCACCAGGGTGCCCTTCCCCACTTTTACTTTCCCACCCGTTCCTCTTCCCCCACCCCATCACCCTACTTTCCCGCCAATCCCTCTCTCCGCCGCCTTCGAGTTCGGCACCACATCACGCTTCCTCCTCCCCCTCTCACTCAGCGTCACCGCAAAAACCCCTTCTCTCCTTCCCCTCCCCAGCCCTCCATGCCTGCAGTCTCACTCTCACCTGACCCTCTCGACACCACCACACTCATCCTCCTCTTTCAATACCCACCACACCACTCAGCACGAGCAGCTGCAGCCCCGACCCTCGCATCCTCGCCACCACGCCTCCTTGCCTCTATGCCTCCTCGCCTCTCTGCCTCCTCGCCTCTCTGCCTCCTCGCCTCTCTGCCTCCTCACCTCTCTGCCTCCTCGCCTCTCTGCCTCCTCGCCTCTCTGCCTCCTCGCCTCTCTGCCTCCTCGCCTCTCTGCCTCCTCGCCTCTCTGCCTCCTCGCCTCTCTGCCTCCTCGCCTCTCTGCCTCCTCGCCTCTCTGCCTCCTCGCCTCTCTGCCTCCTCGCCTCTCTGCCTCCTCGCCTCTCTGCCTCCTCGCCTCTCTGCCTCCTCGCCTCTCTGCCTCCTCGCCTCTCTGCCTCCTCGCCTCTCTACTCTCACTCCTCTACTCTCACCCCTCTACTCTCACCCCTCTACTCTCACCCCTCTACTCTCACCCCTCTACTCTCACGCCTCTACTCTCACGCCTCTACTCTCACGCCTCTACTCTCACGCCTCTACTCTCACGCCTCTACTCTCACCCCTCTACTCTCACCCCTCTACTCTCACCCCTCTACTCTCACCCCTCTACTCTCACCCCTCTACTCTCACGCCTCTACTCTCACGCCTCTACTCTCACGCCTCTACTCTCACCCCTCTACTCTCACCCCTCTACTCTCACCCCTCTACTCTCACCCCTCTACTCTCGCCCCTCTACTCTCACGCCTCTACCCTCACCCCTCTACTCTCACCCCTCTACTCTCACCCCTCTACTCTCACGCCTCTACTCTCACGCCTCTACTCTCACCCCTCTACTCTCACGCCTCTACTCTCACCCCTCTACTCTCACCCCTCTACTCTCACCCCTCTACTCTCACCCCTCTACTCTCACGCCTCTACTCTCACGCCTCTACTCTCACCCCTCTACTCTCATGCCTCTACTCTCACCCCTCTACTCTTGCCGGTCGCTCTCATCTGTGACCTCACCTCTTCCTCATCACTCTCCCATCCTTACTGCAGGTGCTCCGCCCTGACCCTTGTTCCTCTTCCTGGTGGAGATGATTAGCTTCCCCTTCCTTTCTACTCGTGTCGGCGTGCACGAGTCCCATCAGGATTGCACTACTCTCGCATGCTTACATGTAACGAACTTGATTACCAAGATCGCCCTGCCCTGCCCTGCACTTCCTACTCTTTCCTTCGAGCCCTCCAATCTCCAAAATGCCGGCACTTCAAGTCCTTTGTTCCTCTAATTACCGGTCCCTCCATTCGACTCTGTCCAGTGGTCTGCGTTCCCCTTCCCCGTTTGCCCAGGGAACCATGTGCTGTCATGTCCCATGTGTCAATGCTCATGCTCCCCATCTTCACTCCTCACCTCACATCCTCGCAATCATGCCCGCTGTGCCCTCCATACCACAGGTGCCGCCTGTCATCAACAACCTCACATCGCCATCTGGCATGCACATGCGGGTGGGTATGGGTGTGCGCTCTTCCTCCCCTCTCTCCCCACTTCATCCCCTAATTCCTCTCTTCTACGCCTTGGCGCTCCCAATCTGCCCTCTCACTTCTCATTCCATCCTCTCTCCTCCCTGCCCTCCAATTTCCTCAAGGCAACCATTCTCTCCTCTCTGTTCTGCCTCTTTCACCCGTGCCCTCGATTCTCCTCAATGGCGGCAGGCACACGGTGCGCCTACCTGCCGCGAAGAATCCACACAGGGCTCCTGCAGCGCTATGCTCACACGGCAATATTTTATATCAATCTGGGTGTACCCTCATCATGATGAAGCTACACATTTGTTGTAACGTGTCATGCTAGCTGTCAATATAAAGCAATGGGGTATTTCACACGACAAAAAGAGCCAATAACACACGTCGATCCTTACTATTGTACGCACATGCAGAATCTTGGTAAATAGTAAATAGGGTTGATAGTAAGTCCTGGGGGTTGTACGGTACTATGGGGGTTATAGGTATTACAGAATTATCCTTGGCACCATGTCAGAAGCACAACACCACGGTGTGATCCATTGCGTTATGGCACATAAGATACACATAGAGGCGCGTTTACTAGTGCACTTGTTTCCGCGTTGACATAGAGCAGACAACGCCGTGCCGCGCCTCCACTTTGAATACCCTACCACTGGTCCCATAAATCCAGTCGAGCTGCAATGCACAGAAAACCGGAGATGCTCATGGAGGTGATAGAGCAGGTGCTGGATTCGTATTATGCGCAGCACAGGCAGCAGAGCCCCACAATATACAGCCCCACACTCTGCTGCCCCACACTCTACGGCCCCACTCTCTGCTGCCGGCCAATCTGCGGCCCCACACTCTACGGCCCCACTCTCTGCTGCCGGCCAATCTGCGGCCCCACACTCTACGGCCCCACTCTCTGCTGCCGGCCAATCTGCGGCCCCACACTCTACGGCCCCACTCTCTGCTGCCGGCCAATCTGCGGCCCCACACTCTACGGCCCCACGTTCTGCTGCTCCACGCTATGCTGATCCAGTGCCCGCCACTCTGCTGCCCCGACCCTTGGCTGCCCCACCATCTGCTGCCCCACGCTCTTCAGCCCCACAGGCCAATTGCCCCACACTTTGCTGCCCCACACTTCTCTGCCCCACGCTCTGCTGCCCCACTCTCTCCTGCCCCACGCTCTGCTGCCCCACTCTCTCCTGCCCCACTATCTGCTGCTCCACACTATTATGCTGCACCGTGCCCTTCTGCCATGCACTCTGTTGCCCAACGCTCTGCTGCCCCACCCTCTGCTGCCCCACCCATTGCCCCCACTCCATCTTCGTTCATCATCGCGTGTTGAGTAAATCACCTGTGTGTGATGGGTTTAGGGTTTTTCGAGTACATTGAGTTTGCCCTTGCACCTAAATCAAAACCTGACCAGTAAAAGAATGAAGGGCAGTCATAATGCATCAAAGTTATGGTACATAGCGAACAGGAATTGAAAAGATTAGAAGTAGGAAGAGTAACAACATATGAGCACATGGACTGGGAAACATACCAAAAATAGCTCGTTGCGCACGTGGCGGAGGCCGTCCACCGTCCTGCGACGCTTTTGCGGCGTGGACAGAGGTGCCGGTGTCACATCCAGAACTATGGCGGCGAAGGGAGGGGGTCTAGAATGTGGGACAGGTGTGCACGGAGTGGCTGGTGCAGAAGCATCTGAAGTATGGTGTACGGGTGCATCCGAGTCTGCTGCCCGACCCAAGCAATTCCAATCATGCAGAATCTCGTCGACCCAGTCCCATCTCATTGGTCCAAGAACCTTGTCGGTCTTTCCACGCCGAACCCTTGTTGCACGACGTATCCTGATCTTCGTTGCAATAACCTCACGGTCAAGCGAGTTGTTCCAGTGCAACGCTGTAAGGCCTATCCTGGCTCGCATGCTGCCATGAAATCGAATGCGTTTTGGGGCATACTTGCATATCAGTGAATGGAAAGACTCGTTCATCCAGTTGCTTGCCCCCAACACATATGGTGCCATCTGTTTTGGTCCACAATTCTCTGACAGCCAAGCCTTGAACCGCACATGTGTCGTGCCCCCGCGTTCGTACAAGGCACTTTCCGGCCCCCATTCGTCCGCAACACACCTCGATATATCAGAGCCTCGCGAGCACCCAGAATGGTCTCCTGCCCAATGGTCCGCTGCATTCCCGATCTCGGCCGCCACCTGCTCTGGTGTCATATTTGCCCCTTCCCTAGCTCGTGCAGCACACACGGCCATTACGTGGTGGAAATGAATGCAGAATCTCTGAGACACCGACACTTCGCGCACGATCGTCCCCGACCCGCCTTCCTCTTCTCCTTCGTCCCCTTCAGCCACTCTCTTACCTTTTCCAGCCCCCCTCTCAACCCAACGTCTTTTCCGCGACGGTTCTTCTGCAGCCCTGTCAAGCCTCTGCGCCGCTGTTGATTCAGAATCATCTGAAGGGTATGGGGAGTTGCATAAATTATGGGCTTATTGAAAGGGGGTGGGGCAAATGAGAAGGGTAAAATTGGTAAAGTCGACATGATGTGCGAATATGGGTAGAATTATCATATCAAGACCTTGCATGATTGTGTGGGTGCAGAATTTGCAACCCACCAGCAATGCCTTTCCCACTAGTACCCACCACTACCCTACCATCTGCTGCCCCACCCTCTGCTGCCCACCTCTCTGCAACCCCTCACTCTAATGCCCATACTCTAATGCCCCCCACTCTACAGCCCGCCTCGTAGGGGCCCCGCCACTCTGCTGGTCAACACATGACGGCCCAGTACTCTGCTGCCCCATCCCTGCTGCATAAAACTCAGGTTCTCTGTTCAGCTGCCCCCCCTGCTGCCAGAGTGCTGACAAACCAGCCCCACCCTCATCTGCCCCGCTCTCTGGTTCGCTGCTGGCATGATGCCTACCAGTGTTTGTGAAAGGATGACATACCTGCTGCACTGCCATCGGTAGGAGTCGATTTGTCAGCATTTGCCTGGGCCTCCTCGCCTTCGTACCTCCATGCCTCCTCTCTCGTGGACCTGCCACACTGTCCAGCTGCCTGGAGGATCATGAATGAAACGACCGAACACGGTCGCACCCCGTGCTCAGGATGAGGGTCATACCCCCATGGCTCCCGTACATCACTGTACTCAACATTCCGGAGTGCAGCTTCAGACCCTTCTGGTACGACAGGCGCGTCCTCAAGAATGTCAACAGACACAAAACCCGAGACAAAATCGCTGCTAACCGTGGCTCGTCCATCCCAATCACTCTCACATCCAGATGCCCACTCGATTGGGACATCAACATGTGCAGCTCCTTCCACACCTGTGCCCCCCCCCTCTCTCCCGCTTCCTCGATCCGCATTACCCCGCTGCATGCCGGCACTAGAAGCACCCCTACCATGCCCATGACGCACAATCTGAACGCGCCGCATTTCTGGAAATTTCCACGGCGAGTGGCTACTGCTAATATCCTTATACACGAATCCCCTCATCTGACAGATGGTCTTTATCATTTCTTTCTTCGTTGCCTTCTTCCCCACACCCTTCATGTCCTTTCCCAGCCGCTCGCGCAACCAAGCTCGTAGATGCTCGAGCGGGACATCCCATAGGTGTTCGTTGTTTTTAGCACCCTCAACACGCCGCTCATCCTTGCGTGCGTCGATCATATCCCTGTCCAATTTCCGAGCTAGCAACTTCCCTTTATGCCAGACGTCCATCTGGTGAAGTATCCCAGTCCCAATTATCGCCGCTTTGTATGTTCCGCCCTCATCCGTAATAATACCATGCACTTTGAAGCCCCAGTTTTTTAGATCAGTCATCCCCTTACGAAATGCAATCCCCTCCAATTGTGTGGCGGACACATTCCCCTCTTCCGTGCGTGATACAGTAACACAGTGCAGTACCTTGCGAGTGGTGGGATCAAGGAATGTCACAGTACCCCACTCCGCCTCTCTGGGCTGACCCCAACGACCATCCACACACACCCAATGACCAGGAACAGGTCTCTTTTTTATGCCCTCCCTTACAACCTCCATACACTTACCAGCATGCTGAATGATTTTCTCCCACAAACCACCGGCCCCTCTCATATACTTGTAGAATGTGGTCTTACATGGTACACAAACACCTACATTTCGACCCACCTCTGACATCACCTGATACCCTATGCCAGCAAGTGCAAAAGACGCCATGAACCTTTGCATCAGAGGCATACGCTTTCGACCAGGGACAGAAGGATCGGTGTTTGGTGGCTGCCGTTTTATGGACCAATAAGTCATCGACTTCCTGCACACGTCACACTCCCACTTCAAACCAAGTCCAGCCCACCCCAATTTCCATGACCTCACTTTCATACGACCATTGCACCCCACCACCCCCGTACAATGAAGTGACAAAACCATAAAAAAATGTAGCGTGTGAATGGGGTCAAGGAAGCAAACGATGTTGCGAAGACCGTCCAAGAGAGGAAGCATGGTCCAACCGTCTCCCTTTATTGGTGTGGTTTTGGTGGGCGTTGGTGCAAATGCTCTGACGTTGTAAGGGAGAAGAAGGGTGTGTATATGGGTGCAACACTTAATGAGCAAACTATTATAAATGTGTACTATATGCGCACCGAATGCCCTACGCATGCGAAGGGTCCGGGCTCTATACATGATGTTCAACACGTACGTACCTTGCTGGAATCGGGCTTGCATCACCATTGCAACGTGTTTCCTGACGGAGGTCCGAGTGTGGCCCGCGCCGTCCGATCAGCTCGTGCACGACCTCAACAGCCACAGTGCTGTGGGGAGGGAGGGGTGCACATGCTCTGCCGGTGTACGGGAGCAGAAGGGTGGGTAGATGTGCACAAAACTTAGTGATTGAATCGTATGAATGTGTACATGAATGCGCACCATTGGGACATCAACATGCGAAGGGTCCGGGCTCTACGCATTCTGTTCATCACGTAAGTACCTTGCTATCCTCGGGCTTGCATCACCATTGCAACGTGTTTCCTGACGGAAGTCAGGTGGTGGCCCGCGCAGTCCGCTCAGCTCATGCACAACCTCAACAGCCACAGTGCCTTGGTCTGGGCGCGCTGGCGCATCACTCCCGATCACCACGTCTTGCCATTCCACACCCGCCGTGACGTCATGGACAGGCCTATCCTGTCGAGCTGCCATGAATTTAGATCGTGGGGGCAATTGTAGTTTCATAATAGTTTAGGGATGCCTCGAATAAGTACATGATTGTGGGTGATATGACACAACATTCGCCAGGAAAAAAAATGTCAATCCATGACTCGGTTTCACACTTGTCACACTTGCGCCGCATTTCGGAAAAGAATCGATCGTGCGTACCAGCATCATAGTTGGAGCCCTTCCGTGCCCCACCCCATTGAAACCGCCGGCCATCCCGATACAACGCTCCATCGGGACCCAGGGTGTATGCAGGAAAGCCGTATCGTAGACCTGCAATGCCATAAGGATCCCGCATCGTAAGATCTGATAGATCCTCTGATGCAATATCTGCTCTGCATCTGAAAGATGCACCAAATGTCGCTAGAAGTACTTTCACGCTTTCGCCTGCGGTTGTCCCATCGGATCCTGCGCGAACAAAAGATTAGGAACTAATGAATCTTTCTTGTTCATCTCAACTACATGCCCCAAACTGTCCCACAACTCCGTCACATCTCACCAGCCCTTGTTGCTGCCATCATCAGCTTCTCGATTGCCCCATCCCCCACCATTAGTAAGAAGAACACCAGATCGGCAATGGATGCAGTCCTTCCCATCAAGCATGACAAACCAATCCGTAGGAAACAGATTGGCAGCTGCATGTGACAAGAAATACCAAGACTCTTCACTTCGCATTTGTTCGCCATGTCACGCAACTCTTCAAGGGCAGAACTCCGCACCTCACAATCAGACGACATGGCCAGTAGCTGGGTGGAGGGAACGAGAGGGGAGCAAGGGCGGATGTCAGCTGGGTGGGGGGAAGTGAGTAGCTAGGTGGGGGGAAGTAAGTAGCTGGGTGGGGGGAAGTGAGTAGCTGGGTGAGGGGAAGTGAGTAGCTGTGTGGGGGGAAGTGAGTAGCTGTGTGGGGGGAAGTGAGTAGCTGGGTGGGGGGAAGTGAGTAGCTGTGTGGGGGGAAGTGAGTAGCTGTGTGGGGGGAAGTGAGTAGCTGTGTGGGGGGAAGTGAGTAGCTGGGTGGGGGGAAGTGAGTAGCTGTGTGGGGGGAAGTGAGTAGCTGGGTGGGGGGAAGTGAGTAGCTGTGTGGGGGGAAGTGAGTAGCTGGGTGGGGGGAAGTGAGTAGCTGTGTGGGGGGAAGTGAGTAGCTGGGTGGGGGGAAGTGAGTAGCTGGGTGGGGGGAAGTGAGTAGCTGGGTGGGGGGAAGTGAGTAGCTGTGTGGGGGGAAGTGAGTAGCTAGGTGGGGGGAAGTAAGTAGCTGGGTGGGGGGAAGTGAGTAGCTGGGTGGGGGGAAGTGAGTAGCTGGGTGGGGGGAAGTGAGTAGCTGGGTGGGGGGAAGTGAGTAGCTGGGTGGGGGGAAGTAAGTAGCTGGGTGAGGGGAAGTGAGTAGCTGGGTGGGGGGAAGTGAGTAGCTGTGTGGGGGGAAGTGAGTAGCTGGGTGGGGGGAAGTAAGTAGCTGTGTGGGGGGAAGTGAGTAGCTGTGTGGGGGGAAGTGAGTAGCTGTGTGGGGGGAAGTGAGTAGCTGTGTGGGGGGAAGTGAGTAGCTGTGTGGGGGGAAGTGAGTAGCTGGGTGGGGGGAAGTAAGTAGCTGGGTGAGGGGAAGTGAGTAGCTGGGTGGGGGGAAGTGAGTAGCTGTGTGGGGGGAAGTGAGTAGCTGGGTGGGGGGAAGTGAGTAGCTGTGTGGGGGGAAGTGAGTAGCTGTGTGGGGGGAAGTGAGTAGCTGTGTGGGGGGAAGTGAGTAGCTGTGTGGGGGGAAGTGAGTAGCTGTGTGGGGGGAAGTGAGTAGCTGGGTGGGGGGAAGTGAGTAGCTGTGTGGGGGGAAGTGAGTAGCTGGGTGGGGGGAAGTGAGTAGCTGTGTGGGGGGAAGTGAGTAGCTGGGTGGGGGGAAGTGAGTAGCTGTGTGGGGGGAAGTGAGTAGCTGGGTGGGGGGAAGTGAGTAGCTAGGTGGGGGGAAGTAAGTAGCTGGGTGGGGGGAAGTAAGTAGCTGGGTGGGGGGAAGTGAGTAGCTGTGTGGGGGGAAGTGAGTAGCTGTGTGGGGGGAAGTGAGTAGCTGTGTGGGGGGAAGTGAGTAGCTAGGTGGGGGGAAGTAAGTAGCTGGGTGGGGGGAAGTGAGTAGCTGGGTGGGGGGAAGTGAGTAGCTGGGTGGGGGGAAGTGAGTAGCTGGGTGGGGGGAAGTGAGTAGCTGTGTGGGGGGAAGTAAGTAGCTGGGTGGGGGGAAGTGAGTAGCTGGGTGGGGGGAAGTGAGTAGCTGTGTGGGGGGAAGTGAGTAGCTGGGTGGGGGGAAGTGAGTAGCTGTGTGGGGGGAAGTGAGTAGCTGTGTGGGGGGAAGTGAGTAGCTAGGTGGGGGGAAGTAAGTAGCTGGGTGGGGGGAAGTGAGTAGCTGGGTGAGGGGAAGTGAGTAGCTGTGTGGGGGGAAGTGAGTAGCTGGGTGGGGGGAAGTGAGTAGCTGTGTGGGGGGAAGTGAGTAGCTGGGTGGGGGGAAGTGAGTAGCTGGGTGGGGGGAAGTGAGTAGCTGGGTGGGGGGAAGTGAGTAGCTGTGTGGGGGGAAGTGAGTAGCTGTGTGGGGGGAAGTGAGTAGCTGGGTGGGGGGAAGTGAGTAGCTGTGTGGGGGGAAGTGAGTAGCTGGGTGGGGGGAAGTGAGTAGCTGTGTGGGGGGAAGTGAGTAGCTGTGTGGGGGGAAGTGAGTAGCTAGGTGGGGGGAAGTAAGTAGCTGGGTGGGGGGAAGTGAGTAGCTGGGTGAGGGGAAGTGAGTAGCTGTGTGGGGGGAAGTGAGTAGCTGGGTGGGGGGAAGTGAGTAGCTGTGTGGGGGGAAGTGAGTAGCTGGGTGGGGGGAAGTGAGTAGCTGGGTGGGGGGAAGTGAGTAGCTGTGTGGGGGGAAGTGAGTAGCTGGGTGGGGGGAAGTAAGTAGCTGGGTGGGGGGAAGTGAGTAGCTGGGTGGGGGGAAGTAAGTAGCTGTGTGGGGGGAAGTGAGTAGCTGTGTGGGGGGAAGTGAGTAGCTGTGTGGGGGGAAGTGAGTAGCTGTGTGGGGGGAAGTGAGTAGCTGTGTGGGGGGAAGTGAGTAGCTGGGTGGGGGGAAGTGAGTAGCTGTGTGGGGGGAAGTGAGTAGCTGGGTGGGGGGAAGTGAGTAGCTGTGTGGGGGGAAGTGAGTAGCTGGGTGGGGGGAAGTGAGTAGCTGGGTGGGGGGAAGTGAGTAGCTGTGTGGGGGGAAGTGAGTAGCTGTGTGGGGGGAAGTGAGTAGCTGTGTGGGGGGAAGTGAGTAGCTAGGTGGGGGGAAGTAAGTAGCTGGGTGGGGGGAAGTGAGTAGCTGGGTGGGGGGAAGTGAGTAGCTGGGTGGGGGGAAGTGAGTAGCTGGGTGGGGGGAAGTGAGTAGCTGTGTGGGGGGAAGTAAGTAGCTGGGTGGGGGGAAGTGAGTAGCTGGGTGGGGGGAAGTGAGTAGCTGTGTGGGGGGAAGTGAGTAGCTGGGTGGGGGGAAGTGAGTAGCTGTGTGGGGGGAAGTGAGTAGCTGTGTGGGGGGAAGTGAGTAGCTAGGTGGGGGGAAGTAAGTAGCTGGGTGGGGGGAAGTGAGTAGCTGGGTGAGGGGAAGTGAGTAGCTGTGTGGGGGGAAGTGAGTAGCTGGGTGGGGGGAAGTAAGTAGCTGGGTGGGGGGAAGTGAGTAGCTGGGTGGGGGGAAGTGAGTAGCTGGGTGGGGGGAAGTGAGTAGCTGGGTGGGGGGAAGTGAGTAGCTGTGTGGGGGGAAGTGAGTAGCTGTGTGGGGGGAAGTGAGTAGTTGTGTGGGGGGAAGTGAGTAGCTGTGTGGGGGGAAGTAAGTAGCTGGGTGGGGGGAAGTGAGTAGCTGGGTGGGGGGAAGTGAGTAGCTGTGTGGGGGGAAGTAAGTAGCTGGGTGGGGGGAAGTAAGTAGCTGGGTGGGGGGAAGTGAGTAGCTGGGTGGGGGGAAGTGAGTAGCTGTGTGGGGGGAAGTGAGTAGCTGTGTGGGGGGAAGTGAGTAGCTGGGTGGGGGGAAGTGAGTAGCTGTGTGGGGGGAAGTGAGTAGCTGTGTGGGGGGAAGTGAGTAGCTGTGTGGGGGGAAGTGAGTAGCTGGGTGGGGGGAAGTGAGTAGCTGGGTGGGGGGAAGTGAGTAGCTGTGTGGGGGGAAGTAAGTAGCTGGGTGGGGGGAAGTGAGTAGCTGGGTGGGGGGAAGTGAGTAGCTGTGTGGGGGGAAGTAAGTAGCTGGGTGGGGGGAAGTGAGTAGCTGGGTGGGGGGAAGTGAGTAGCTGGGTGGGGGGAAGTGAGTAGCTGTGTGGGGGGAAGTGAGTAGCTGTGTGGGGGGAAGTGAGTAGCTGGGTGGGGGGAAGTGAGTAGCTGTGTGGGGGGAAGTGAGTAGCTGGGTGGGGGGAAGTGAGTAGCTGTGTGGGGGGAAGTAAGTAGCTGGGTGGGGGGAAGTGAGTAGCTGGGTGGGGGGAAGTGAGTAGCTGGGTGGGGGGAAGTGAGTAGCTGTGTGGGGGGAAGTGAGTAGCTAGGTGGGGGGAAGTAAGTAGCTGGGTGGGGGGAAGTGAGTAGCTGTGTGGGGGGAAGTGAGTAGCTGTGTGGGGGGAAGTAAGTAGCTGTGTGGGGGGAAGTGAGTAGCTGTGTGGGGGGAAGTGAGTAGCTGGGTGGGGGGAAGTAAGTAGCTGGGTGGGGGGAAGTGAGTAGCTGGGTGGGGGGAAGTGAGTAGCTGTGTGGGGGGAAGTGAGTAGCTGGGTGGGGGGAAGTGAGTAGCTGTGTGGGGGGAAGTGAGTAGCTGTGTGGGGGGAAGTGAGTAGCTAGGTGGGGGGAAGTAAGTAGCTGGGTGGGGGGAAGTGAGTAGCTGGGTGAGGGGAAGTGAGTAGCTGTGTGGGGGGAAGTGAGTAGCTGGGTGGGGGGAAGTGAGTAGCTGGGTGGGGGGAAGTGAGTAGCTGGGTGGGGGGAAGTGAGTAGCTGTGTGGGGGGAAGTGAGTAGCTGTGTGGGGGGAAGTGAGTAGCTGGGTGGGGGGAAGTGAGTAGCTGTGTGGGGGGAAGTAAGTAGCTGGGTGGGGGGAAGTGAGTAGCTGGGTGGGGGGAGGTAAGTAGCCCAATGACCGGGAAAGAAGGTAGCGCGGTGGGGGAAAGGGAAGTAAGTAGCTACTTGGGGGGGGAAGTTAGTAGTTGGATGGGGGGATATTAGAAGCTGGGTGGGGAGAAGTAATTAGCAGGATGGGGGGGAAGGTCATAGCTGGGTGGGGGGATGGTAGACGCTGGATGGGGGGAAGTAGGTAGCTGGATGGAGGGAAGTAAATAGCCTGCTGGGGGGTAGTAAACAGCTGCATGGGGGAAACTGAATAGCTGGGTGGGGGAAAGTAAGTGCCGGTGTTGGGTAATACAATGAGAGTGAGGGGCGTGGAGAATGCAAGTAAGGGCTGCGTGTGGAAATGGTTACATAGATGGCCACCTTTTTATTTTTCAAAGTCGACCGCGCGAATGTCTTCTTGTCGCGTGGACAGTAGTCACGGTGCGGGTGCGGGCGATGAGTCACGCGTCGCCTTCCTACCGTTACCCTATTCTTCGGTTTGCGAGTTTTATGCCTTTCTACCCTACTTTTCGCGCTGTTCTATGGCGATAATGCAACATGCCGCCTCCGCACCTCCACGCCCCATAATCATATGTCATTTGGGGGGCTCTCCACTGACGAAATCCTTGTTGTGCTGCCCGGTTCCCTCCCCATTGGTGTCCTGCCACGATGGTTCTATACATCTAAACACACTCGCTGCGATTCCACACATTTCGCCTAACCCTATCTCTTATAACCCTAAACATAATCCCTTCGCGTCATTAGAAGAAATGCGCGTTGCTTGCCTATTCACATTCTCCGGCGCCTGGTTCCTGATGTGTATTGGCGGTTGGTTGGTGTGGCGAGACAGTGCGAGACAGTGCGAGACGTTTTCTTCACTCATCACTATGGTGTCTGGGAGGGTGGCGGAAATGGAAGGTCGTTCCGCAGCCCCTAGCTGCAGGCAGGCGCAGATTTAATTCAGTGAGCCACAATTCGCCCACTTTCGTATTTCTCGCCACATCCATTCTTCCTAGTGTATTTTCGTTCCTGCCAAATTTTTTTCGCCGAACACCAATTTCTTTCCGATGGGAGTACACCCATTATGAATGTGCACCCTGGTTTTAAAATCGCATACAACCCTTTTGTAAACATTATTGACCACTCTAGAACGCAAAACACCTTATGGAGCCACTTCTAGAAGAAATTCGGCAGCACACAAATCAAGCAGCCTCCTTGTCGTCTGTAGCCTGCCGCTGTTTCTTGTTGCGAGTTCTTGAATTTGCAACACCGCTCGGCGCGGAGCTTTCTCGTCATATCTCTCCCCACGCATCGCTGCATCGTGCGTGCCTCCTTTCCTGACCGCGAATGCGCGGTTAGATTACTTGCATCTTTTGTTTCTCCTCCGTTTGCGAATCCGCGCGTGAGATATGGCGGGAATCCGTGCCGCGTTCCTCCCGCTGCTGCTTCTCGCCGGCCTTACCGCGTGCGCTGGGTTTTCCGCCAGGCCGTTCTTTCCCGGCGTCCTTCGTTTGTCGTCATCTGACGTGGCAGAGCCTCAGCAACTGCTCCAGCAGCAGGAGGAGAAGGAGGAGGCCGTCCCGTATAATGACGGGTTTGGCAGCAGCAGCAGCAGCAGGATTGGGCTGAGAGGAAGCGGTTCCTTTCTTGCGAGAGACGTGGCTGTTTCTCAGCAGAGTCAGGAGCCACAGCAGCCGAAGAAGGAGAAGAAGCTGAAGCTGAAGCAGCCACCCCCGTGTAAGCAGCATTTTCCCGAATAAGCAGCCTTCCCCCTATAGGGTAAATACAAGCTGCAGTGCGAGTAGTTGTATCTGTTTCCACAACCTGAGGTCCTGAAGTTGGTTTTTGTTTGTTTTTGTTTGCTTTTTTTTTTTGTGCTTCTTCCTTCATGTTGAATGTGCTTACAGCGCAGGGAGTGGCGTACCGTGCAGTGCCGGATCCGGACCTCGCAATCCCCCCGTTTGAGTCACCCTACACGGCTCCTGACATTCCCTTGGACTTCCACCAGCAGAACGGCACCAACTACCCCGAGCAGGTGAGTCTGCTCCGTGCATACTACTAGCAATCCCGTTTGAATAAGGTTCACAGGACAGACGCACTGTCACCCTACACGGCTCCTGACATTCCCCTGGACTACCACCAGCAGAACGGCAGCAACCACCCCGAGCAGGTGTGGTTGCTACAGCGGGAATGAGCGTGTTTGCTGCCAGCAGGTCAGTCTGGCTGCTATTGGCGGACGAATGTTGAGTCACCCTACACGGCTCCTGACATTCCCTTGGACTACCACCAGCAGAACGGCAGCAACCACCCCGAGCAGGTCAGTCTGCCTGCTTTCTGCAGGCTGCTAGCACGAGCAGGCTGTTTGCACTCCCTCTTGAATCACACTGTGCATGTATCGTGGGAGCAGCTCCTGACATTCCCTTGGATCACCACCAGCAGAACGGCACCAACTACCCCGAGCAGGTCAGTCTGTTCTCCGCATGCTCTCAGCACTCCCGTTTGAGTCACACTTTACACGGATAAAACGTGAGGAAAACAGATGTCGAGTCAGGGAGAAGAGGCACAAGCGCCAATGCTCTCTTCCTTCGACCCCCACCCCCACCCCAACCCCCAGGTGCTTGCTCCCGCGTCACCCGACGGACTTTTGAGTCGACTCAAAACGAGGTGACTTTTGAGTCGACTCAAAAGTCACCTTGATGTCGAGTCAGGGAGAAGAGGCACAAGTGCCAATGCTCTCTTCCTTCTGCCCCCACCCCCACCCCAACCCCAACCCCCAGGTGCTTCTTGCTCCCGCGTCACCCGACGGACTCTTTATGTTTGTGCGGTTTGTCATCCCGAACATCAGGCCGTTAAGCGCATGCGAGAAGAGGCACAAGCTGCCTGTTTGACCTGCTTTCTCCTCTCCACGCCCCTTCGTCCTCCCCGGCGCCACAGGTGCTTTTTGCCCCAGCTTCTCCTGATGAACTCTATGTGTTTGTACGGTTTGTCATTCCCAACATCATGCCGTTGAACGCATGCAAGAAGAGGCACAAGCGCTATTGCCCGCTTTGTCCCCTCCCTGCCGCCCCCACCTGCCCCCCTCCTCAGGTGCTTCTGGCCCCAGCTTCCCCCGATGGACTCTTCATGTTTGTACGGTTTGTCTGTCATGCCGTTGAACGCATGCAAGAAGAGGCACAAGCGCTCATGCTTATGCTCTCTCCCCCCTCTCCCCTCCACCCTCCCCCCTCTCCCCTCCCCTCAGGTGCTTCTCGCCCCAGCTTCCCCTGACGGTCTCTTCATGTTTGTACGGTTTGTCTGTCATGCCGTTGAACGCATGCAAGAAGAGGCACAAGCGCTCATGCTTATGCTCTCTCCCCCCTCTCCCCTCCACCCTCCCCCCTCTCCCCTCCCCTCAGGTGCTTCTCGCCCCAACTTCCCCTGACGGTCTCTTCATGTTTCTACGGTTTGTCTGTCATGCCGTTGAACGCATGCAAGAAGAGGCACAAGCGCTCATGCTTATGCTCTCTCCCCCCTCTCCCCTCAGGTGCTTCTCGCCCCAGCTTCCCCTGACGGTCTCTTCATGTTTGTGCGGTTTGTCATCCCCAACATCATGCCATTGAGCGCATGTGAGAAGAGGCACAAGCTGCCCATGCTTATGCTCTCCTCTCCCCTCTTCCCTCCACCCTCTTGCCTCTCCTCCTCAGGTGCTCCTCGCCCCAGCTTCCCCGGATGGACTCTTCATGTTTGTACGGTTTGTCATCCCCAACATCATGCCGTTAAGCGCATGCGAGAAGAGGCACAAACTTCCAATTGACCTGCTTAATGATTTGGGGGAAGAAGCAAGGCGTGCCAAGTTAAACTCTGGGAAAGAAGTCGAGGAGGAGGACGAGGAGGAAGGGGAGGGGAATGAGGGAGATGAGGGGGATGAGGGGGAGGAGGGGTTGGTGGAAGACGGGATGGGGGAGAGCAAGTGCAGGCGTAAGCGCTCTGTGCTGTATGGCATGGACCCAAACGCCCTCAACCAATCAGCGAGGTGAGGAACTTCCTCATGTACACTTGAAATGGAAGGGTAACTCGATTAACCACAAAGTGCAGGCACAAGCGCTCCATGCTGTATGGCACTGATCCTAAGGCCCTCAACAGTCAGCCAGGTAGGCGACTTCCGCACATACACTTGAAATGGAAGCGTAACTCGATTCACCTTATTGTGCAGGCGCAAGCGCTCCGTGCTCTATGGCACTGATACAAACGCCCTCAACCAATCGGCAAGGTAGGGCAGGATCCATGTGTACATAAAAAAAAAAAAAAAAAAAAAAAAAAAAGGGAAGGGTAACACGATTTACCTCAATATGCAACCACACCCGCAACCTCGATCTAGCCTACGTGTCCCGTCTTCCTCCCCTCCCACTCTCCCTCTTCCACTGATGCTACCAGTGGTCGTTCCTTCCGCTACTCCTTCGCCGAGGGCACAGATGGAGCATACGTGTGAGGAGATACCTTCTTCATCCCCATCGGCCCACTCCTCCCCTCCTTCCCCTACTCCCTCCTTCCCTGTTTCCCCCCATCCCTCTCTCCTCTCCTCCCCCCTGCTGCTACCAGTGGTCGTTCCTTCCGTTACGCGTTTGCAGAGGGCACAGACGGGGCATACGTGTGAGGCGATGCCTTCTTTATCCCCATCGGCCCGCTCACTTCTTTCTCCCCTCTTTCGTTCCCCCCTTTCCCCTCCTGCCGTCACCAGCGGTCGTTCCTTCCGCTACTCTTTTGCCGAGGGCACAGACGGAGCGTACGTGTCGGGAGATACATTCTTCATCCCCATCGGCCCTCTCCTCCCTTCGACGCGCTACTACTATCGAATCGAGGGTTCCCCAGTCACCCACTCCTTCACCTCGCTCCCGGCCCCTGGCTCTACGTATCCCTTCAAAGTCGCTCTCGTGGGTGAGTGAAACCATTTATCTCCTGTGGGGTGAGTCAGTGAGTCAGCGAGTTCCTTTGCGTCCTCCAGTATACTGCCTCCACCCATCGGCCCTCTCCTGCCCTTCCACGCGCCACTTCTACCGAATCGAGGGCTCCCCACTCACCCACTCCTTCACCTCGCTCCCGGCCCCCGGCTCTACTTACCCTTTCAAAGTCGCACTCGTGGGTGAGTCCTTTTCTCCCCCGTGCAGTAAGTCTGTTTCTCGCCTTGGGGGTAACTTCCTCCACCAACCCGCCCCCCTCCTGCCCTCCACGCGCTACTACTACCGAATCGAGGGCTCCCCAGTTACCCACTCCTTCACCTCGCTCCCCGCTCCCTCCCCCCTTCAGGCGATGTGGGTCAGACGCTCAACAGCAGCACCACATTTGACAACGTGAAAGCCGGCAGCCCCAGCCTGGTGCTGTTCGCGGGGGATCTTAGCTACGCTGACCAGTACGGCCCACCGCACTGCACCCCTATGGACTCTGCTCAATCTCTCCTGACTGCTGATTCTCCTGAGGCTGGCGGAAAGAGCGAGAGCGAGAGGGAAAGGAAGAGCAAGATATGTGGGCTGGGAGGGGTGCGGTGGGACTCCTACGGCCGCTTGTCCGAGAAAGTATTCGCCCATATCGTAAGTTCTTCTGAAGTTCTTCGCCCAAATCGCCCAGATATCGTAAGTTCCTCTGCGAGCGCGATTTTGAGAATTCTCAAAAGCGGCACGATTCTTGGTGCATCTTGTGCCATTCTTTTTCATAAAGAGCTTCCAGCACTGCTATGTTTCACGAGAAATGTTCCTTTATGGAAAATGCACCAAGATGTTCTTGTGACGCAAAGAATCTCCAGCACTGCTATCCTCGCCTGCCGCTGCCACGTGTAGCTTATGCTAATACATATGTATATATATATATATACAAATACAAATACAATTACAAAAACAAAAACGATATTCAAGGTGTCCCATCTGTACGTTCTCTCCTCGCCTGCTGCTGCTAGCCTGTGGCGCATGTCCCAGGGAACCATGAGATCGAGCTCGTGCCGAGGTGGGGCGAGCTGCGCCCGTTCAAGGTGTATTCTGCGCGCATCCCCCCTCTGCTGCACCACCACCATCCGCTGCTGGCCAGCCTGCTGTCTAAGGTGAGGATTGTGGGGTGCTTCTTTTGAGTCGACTCAAAAGTCATCTGCTGGCAAAGGCGAGGATTGTGGGGTGCTTCAGATGGAGGCGGATTTTGCCTGCTGGCTAAGGTAACCATGAACTGGCTTCCTCATTAAAACGAGTTTGTGAGGGGGGTAGAGTAGGTTGTCTTTCTTACGCACCGCAAAAATTGCACCACCACCACCACCACCGCCACCGCCACCGCCACCGCCACCGCCACCGCCACCGCCACCGCCACCACCACCACCACCACTTCTCATATGTGTGTGTCCCTCTCTCCTTCGTCCCTCAATCTTGCCTTGCCTCGCCCATTTGGTGCAGGCTGGAATCTCTCCCAATCACCACCATCACCACCACCACCATCATCACGCGTACCCGGCCAAGGCGCCTCTCTTCTACTCCATGGACAGCAGCCCCATGCATGTGATCGCGGTGACTTTTGAGTCGACTCAAAAGTCACCTCCATGGACAGCGGCCCCATGCATGTGATCGCCATCATCCTTTTACTCCCTGCCTCACCCCCGTGTGGTATCAGGCTGGAATCACTCCCAACAACCACCACCACCACCATCACCACCACCATGCGTACCCGTCCAAGGCGCCTCTCTTCTACTCCTTGGATATCGGTCCCGTGCATGTGATCGCCATCAACTCCTACTCGCCTTTTGTTATCTACACGCACCAGGTACTGTGAATGGACAGGAAGGAGGCATGTGGTGCAGTCAAGTGCGGTGCAGTGCGGTGCAGTGTGGTGTGGTGGGGAGGGGTGGGGTGGTGTGTGGTAGGGTGGGGTGGGGTGGGGTGGGGTGTGGTGGGCTGGGGTGAAGGTGTACACTCACTAGGTCTGGAAGGTGTTTATTATTTTCGTACTAATTTTCTTCTTGTGCATCTTGTTTCCCCCATGCCACGTGGCCCAGTGGTACTGGCTGCGGGACGACCTGTGCCGAATCGACCGCGAGAAAACCCCGTGGGTTGTAGCATTCATGCACGTGCCTCTCTACAACAGCAATGATGGGCACTACTTGGAGGTATGGCTGTGGGGATGTGCTTGTGACAATCACATGTGACAGCATAACAGAGTGAGTAAACACTAGTTGTGCCACTTTCAAGTGGGTGGCTTGTGGCGTTCATGCACGTGCCTCTCTGCAACAGCAACGACGGGCACTACTTGGAGGTACGGCTGTAGCTGCTGCGTGTACTTGTGTACTTGGATGGATCGGCTACCTAACCAGTACCTGTGACATCGTGAAGTGGGTCGTGACCTTCATGCATGTGCCTCTCTACCACGTTCAGTCTCCTCTGTTTCCCCTTCCCCACCCCCACTCCCATCCTCTGCCCAGGGCGAGCCGATGCGGTACGAGGTAGAGGAGTGGTTGCACGAGGCGGGGGTGGATCTGGTGGCGAGCGGGCACGTGCATGCGTACGAGCGCAGCTACCCTGTTTATGGCATGAAGAGGATGGAGAGCGGGTGTGCCACCGTGCATGTCACGGTGGGGGATGGTGGCAACATCGAAGAAATTGCCGGCCCGTGAGTGCTCTTGCTCTCCGTTACTATCTGCTTCTTTACTGGATCTGGGGTGGATGTGGTGGGGTGTTTTGAGGCGCCACAGAGGCTTCGTAACGGGCGGATCTGGTGGCGAGTGGGCTCGTGCATGTGTACGAGCGCAGCTACCCCGTGTACGGCATGAAGAGAATTTTCAAGTGAATTTTGAGAATTCTCAAAAGTGAGTCAACCAGACACATCTGACACCCCTCATGTCAGCAGCACATTCTTCTAACTGCCAGGTTTTTTTTTTTTTTTTTTGGTGGTCCTGTGCAGGTTCCTTGAGCCGCAGCCGTCGTACAGCGCGTACCGTGAGGAGTCCTTCGGGCATGCTGAGCTGGTGTTTAATGACAACCACACCGCCACCTACAGCTGGTGCGCTCCCTTTGTTGCCCTGAGAACTTCTGCTCTCCCTCCAGTGACTAAGGATCAACTCCACTTGTCACAAAAGGAAGAGAAGTTAATGATTTTTCATTCTTCTTCTTGTTTCTTTTCTTATCCGTTGCACTGCTGGTGGCTGTTTTTGTTGCTCCACTTGCGCAGGTACCGCAACCACCAGGGATCAGGAGTGCTCGCTGATTCCTTCACTCTTCTAAACCGCGCCAACAGCTGCGGCGGCCTTCGCCGCCCGTCCTTCTGCTCCTCGTAGGCCTTGTCGATGGTAGGCAGGATGTCTCAAAACAGATCTACTTTCACGTTACCTACCTTCTGCTCCTCCTAGCCAAAGAATTATAAACTCTGGGGATAGACACACTCTGATTTGAACGAACAATCAGCTTCGGGCTTGGTGTGTTCGTTCATTCTTCACTCTTCTCAACCGTGCCAACAGCTGCGGCGGCCTTCGCCGTCCCCCCTTCTGTTCCTCATAGCCTGGGACTAGAAAGTACGGGGAAAGTACGAACAATCAGATTCCGGTTTCGCGTGCTCGCTTATTCCTTCACTCTTCTTACCATCATGCCAACAGCTGTGGCAGCCTCAGCCGCCCTTCCCTTCCTCCTGCTCCTCCTAGCTTGAGGTGACTTATGAGTCAACTCAAGAATCCGTTTTGAGTTTGTGATTAAGACGTGTGGAGGTACATGAACAGTTCTGAGGGATTTATTGAGCCTCCACCACCCGCCGTCGTGTTACTCCAGCCTGGGAAAAAGGTCGTTTGGGAATAAAAACAGTTTGGATTGGAGGGTACTTCTGAGTTTTTTCATTAGGGCCCCTCTCCACTGCCCTTCCTTCTGCTCCTTTCCCTAGTGTTTCCTTGGACCCCTCACTCAGTCTCATCGATTCGTAGACCACTATGGTGCCTTCTGCCCTACCGAACCCTATAGCCTGATGGAATGAAATCCACAGTACAGTATGCTGCTGGCAAGTCACCTTTGGGCAAATCTACAGTCTTGAACTGTAACCTCTTATTGAAAGGAAAGGTTAGTGTTACATTCCGAATGTAAACGAAACAAGCCCTGAGTACAGTCTTCCATTTGAACTGCGCAATTCATCAATAAGCCTGTTCCAATTCGATCCCAAGGACCCAATAAAATAATCGCATTCCGCTGTGATAAGCAAATTGGCAAAAATGTTTGCTATTGGCTGCTGGGCACTTTCCTGCTCGTCTTTCATTTGTTGCGCACTCTGCACTCTAGAGGCGTTGGTGTAGAAAAAAGTCCAGCTGGGAAAATCGCTTGTCTCGTCGATTACAGACTGGGAAGTTGGAAGGTGAAAAATGGGGAGGAGCAGAAAGAGGAGGGGAGAAGGATATTGGTTCACAAAGAAGGTTCTAGTAAATGGAAGAGTCTGAAGAATATGAATCCTGATTGGAGAGGAATGGACCGACTGGCATGAAGGAGGATGAGCATGAGAGGCAGGATGAGGTTCTGAATCCTGATCCTTTTCAGAATAGACAAGATGGGGATGCTGATGAGTTTAGGCAGAGGAATGTGTGAAAAGTGACAAAAAGAAAATTCAGCGGTGAGAAACCAGAGAATTCTTAATGAAAGTCCAAAGGAATCCGAACAAAATCAACTGGTACTAACACTTAAGTTCCTCACTCCCATATTTATCCTCTCACCTGAACTTCTGTGCTCAGCCAAGCGTGCTTCAGGTCCGGCTGGTGCTGTCTCAGTCGGGAAGCAACAAGCATGAACGCCGGCAGCGGGTGAAGCTCCATCTCAGACGCTTTGTCACTCAGCCGCACATGCACTTGCATCCCTTGCTTCCATCACTTTCCCACCCCCCTCTCCCCTCACCTGCACTTCAGTGCTCATCCAAACATGCTTCAGGTCTGGCTGGTGAGCTCTCAGCCGGGCAGCAACAAGCATGAACACCGGCAGCGGATGAAGCTCCATCTCAGACCCTTTGTCACTCAGCCGCACATGCATGCTCACCACTGGCCGCACTTTTGAGGCGCCTCAAGAGGCACCTCAGACCCTTGGTCACTCAGCCGCACATGAATTTGCATCCCTCGCTTCTCACCTGCACTTCTGTGCTCAGCCAGACGTGCTTCAAATCCGGCCGGTGCGCTCTCAGCCGGGCAGCCACGAGCATGAACGCAGGGAGCGGGTGCAGTTCCATCTCGGACCCTTTGTCACTCAGCCGCACATGCATTTCATCCCTTGCTTCCACCGCTTCCCCACTTCCATCCCCCACTCCCCTCCCCTCCCCTCTCACCTGCACTTCTGTGCTCAGCCAGACGTGCTTCAGGTCCGGTTGGTGCTGTCTCAGCCGGGCAGCAACAAGCATGAACGCAGGGAGCGGGTGCAGCTGCATCTCGGACCCTTTGTCACTCAGCCTCACATGCATGCTCACCACCGGCCGCACCATCAGCACCTCCCCTCCCACGCCTGAGTCCCCACTCCCCGAGCCCTCGCTTCCTCCCCCCATGTCGATGCTTTCACTCCCCCCCGCATCAGTAGAGTTCTGGTTAGAGTCTTGGGAGTTGGAACGGTTGAGAGCGGTGCCAGGGCTGCTAGGGTTGCTGGTGGAGTTCCCAAGCTTGCCAGAGCAGCCTGAATCGCCCCTCATTGGCCAGATATGCGATTGCAATGACCGTACAGGTGTCGCACTGCCATTGGATGCAGGCATTTCCCTCTCGGCTGCCTTTGCCTTGGCTGCAACCAGCAGCAGCAGATCGTCTAGTGGATCTCCTCTTTCTGCTGCTGAGCTGGCAGCTGACGTGGCTGCTGAGCTGGCAGCTGAGCTGGCATCTGACGTGGCTGTTGAGATAGCACCCGAGGTGTCGTTCAGCGATTGGACGATGCTCGCCTGCTGGGCAGCGACTGCTGCCACACGATCGGCCATGAGGTGGCCGTAGCTGACGTGGCGGACGCGGTTGATGACGTGGCAGAGATGAGCGGACGGCCAGCGGAGCAAGAAACGGGCGGCTTGAGCTCGCCACCACCGAGCCTGGCAGGGGGGGGGGAGAGAAGGGGGTGAAGGGGAGAGAGGGGGGGAAGGGGAGAGAGAGAGGAGGCGGACATACAACTTCTGGGGCGCATAAAAAATAACCAATTTCTCATCATGCAGTGATGCACATACCATCATGCAGTCTGAGTACTGGTTGGGGGTGGAGTTTATTTTCGAGTTGACTAAAAAATCAATGAAGCACACACATACCATCATCCAGTCATGCACATCCCATCATGCAGTGTTGCACACATACCATCATGCAGTGATGCACATACCATCATGCAGTGATGCACATACCATCATGCAGTGATGCACATACCATCATGCAGTGATGCACATACCATCATCCAGTCCGGGTACATGCTCGAAATGGAGTTATAGTATGTACTCTTACCAAAATCTACCCACCACCTACCCACCATCATGCACATACCATCATGCACCCACCATCATGCACCCACCACCTACCCACCATCATGCACATACCATCATGCACCCACCATCATGCACCCACCATCATGCACCCACCATCATCCACCCACCATCATGCACATACCATCATCCACCCACCATCATGCACCCACCATCATCCACCCACCATCATGCACATACCATCATCCAGTCTGGGTACATGCTGGAGATTGAGTTTTGCTGTTGAACAGTGTAAGGCCGATCCAGCCATGGCTTGCCCCGTTGCCTGCCATGGGGGTAGATATTGTTACCATCAACCAAACACCATAATCCACAGAAACAACGTGACCAACATAGGGAACATACAAAGGAGATCAACAACACAATGACATGACCATTGCAAAAACATCATTTGTGAAAAAAATGCCGCTTTAATAACATGGAAGTGCTCTTGTCTCTTATGATACATTCAATATACCAATTCAACGTTTCTGCTCTGCAGTACCCATGTGCTTTGAGTCGACTCAAAACACGACTTGATTACCTGCAAGTCCTCTCGTCTCTTATGATACATCCAATCTACCTATTCAACGTTTCCACTCTGCAGTACGCACGTATGCGTGAAGGGGAGTGCGAGGGTCAGAGAGGTTATGTTTAATGACTCCACAACCTCGCGGGTAGGGGGGGTCAGACAGGTTACACCCCCTACCCCCTGACTCTACACCCTCGCTCATACTTGCACTCATACCCACGCACTTACGCTCTCTTGCTCACTGCTTGGATGGACGAAATTTGTTGAAGAGGGATGAGAAGCAAAACACGTTACAATCCATCATCGTAGCATCTCACAGCCTGCATCCCCCCCCCCCCCCCCCCCACACACACACACACATACACACACACCCTTCCCCTCCCCCCTTTCTCTTCCCCCTCCTTCCCCGCCCCCCCACACACTCACTTATCTCTCCCACTCACAGTTTGGCAGCATCAACGTCCCCATAGAGGGATGAGAGTGCGAGGTATACCACCTGCATGGCATGGCATGGCACAGCATGGCACGGCATGGCACGGCGTGGCACGGCATGGAAAGGAAGGGCATGGCATGGCAAGAATGGCAAGAGATGGCAAGACATGGAAAGGAATGGCACGAAATGGCACATGGCATAGTACCAAAGCATTTTGTTGTGATATGATTTTTGGAAATACATAGCAAAATAATACATAATCATAGAACCTGTGTGTCTCCAGCCAGCATGCCCTCCCTGCCTTCCTTCCCAAAAGCATCCCTTCCCCTTCCCTCGGTCATGTGCTGCCATGGCCTTGCACACATGCAGTCCCTCAGCAGTCCCTCAGCAGTCCCTCAGCAGTCAGTGCCTCACCTGTGTGTCTCCAGCCAGCATGCCCTCCCTGCCTTCCTTCCCACGGATATCTGGCGCCTCCCCCCTCTCATGTGCTGCCATGGCCTCTTGCACACATGCAGGGGCGTCTGAGTGCCCTCACAAGTCACCAGGCATTCCCAGCTGTCACTCACCTGTGTGTCTCCACCCAGCATGCTCTCCCTCACATCATTCCCACGGATATCTGGCGCCTCCCCTCGCCCATGTGCTGCCATGGCCTCTTGCACGCATCCAGGGGAGGCGATGGGGAAAAAATAGCACTCCCATTGCTGCGCCTGGCGCAGGTCTTGGGGGGGGAGGGGGAGGGGGAGCGGGAGGGGAGGGAAGAGGACGCACGGGGAGGAAAGGGGAGGAAGGGATGGGGTAAACAGGAAAGGGAATGGTGAGATGGGGAAGAAATAGCACTCCCACTGCTGCGCCTGGCGAAGGTCTTGGGGGGGGGTGGGGAGGGGTAGTGGGGGGAAGGGAAGGAGGAAGGGAGGGGTGAAGTTTTGGGGGTGGAGGAAGGGCAGGATGGATAATCAAGAGAATCGTGTGTTCGCCTCGAGATTATCCGGCGCCTCCCCTCCTCGTCATGTGCTGCCATGACCTCTTGCACACATGCAGGGGAGGTGATGGGGAAGAAGTAGCACTCCCACTGCTGCCCCTGGCGCATGTCCTGGGGGGAGTTGGGAGGAGAGGCGAGGGGGAAGGGAGGAGGAAGGGAGGGGATGAAGGTCTTGGGGTTGGGGAAACGTTGTGTGTACGGTGTGCTCATGGGTGTGTCCCATTCCCCTACCCACCCCTCTCCATTCACCTTCACACTCGCGCCCAGCTCGCTCGAAAGTGCCTGGCATGAGCACAAGAGTGCGATTGCTGCGCATGGCAATGCTGAGATACGCCCCCACCACATGCACCATGCTCCCCATCCCATGGTGCAGGTTGGGCCAGCGCGATAGCATCAGCCGCCGCCCGGTACAGCTGGCGGGGAACTGGTGCCGCCACATGTCGCGCTGCACGCCACGTGTCATCGCGAGATTGGCCGCGTCGGAGCCTCGTATCTGAAACAGAGGAGGGATGAGTAAGTGGAGGTGAGAAGGGGAGGAGGAAAGGGTGAGTGGGAGAAAGAAAGGGGAAGGGAGCAGGCGGAAGGGAGCAGGCGGAAGGGAGCAAGTGGAAGAAGGCACGAACCGGGAAAATGAGCAGCTTCAGTGAATGCTCTAGAGGATTATCGAGGCGTCTCAAAAAGAGGACAAGAGGTCAAGAAAGGGGCCGTTGAAAAAAAAATACGGAAACGATACGAATGTATGCATGCATGCATGCACCCACCCATGCTTGCATCCGTCTTCTACCCACTCACCCATGGTGGTTGGGGCCCGCAGTTACAACACCCCCTCCCATCATCCCCCCTTCCCCCACTTCCCCCGCTTCCCGCACTCTCGCCTTTGCCCCCGTTCTCCACATCCCCCTCGCTGCCTCCGCAGCACTCCCCAAACTCCCCGCGCGCCCATGCGGGGAGGGTTCCGCCCTCCCCCCGCTCTTCCGCCGCCTGGCGCGCAGCGGTGCGCGCGGCGCAGTCTTCGAGGTGGGGTGGAGGGGGAACGTTGGGGGGAAGGGCGAGCGGCGAAGGGGGGAGCAGTGTGGAGGTATTCTCGAGGCCGTACGCCTGTGACCATGCCTGGCGGTGATTATAACGGAACGGAACGGAAGGGGAAGCCGTGAAAGAAGAATCGGTTAGACAACGACAGGAGAGACGCGTCGAAGTAATTGTCAAAATGTGAAGTCAGTCACTCACGCTGAGTGAAAGTGTAGAGACTGTGATACACCAGGCCACTCACGTCGAAGAGCGCCTGGGCTCTGGTTTCGTGTTCCTGACTGGCGAAAGAGCTACTAGCTTCGGCGACGGCCGCTAAGTGCGCTAGCGGAAGCAGGATCAGCCACGTCAGCCAAGCCATTGTGGCTGGGTTGGGGGGTGCACGTGTGTCTGGTCTAATCACGCAAATCATTATAACTTAGAATCCTTTTGATTAAATTCGGGACTTGGCCTGAACATATTCACAAATGCGAATCATCCAGCAACCTGTAGCGGGTATGGTACTTGGGTGAAGCAATTGGCTAGCGAGCCTATCGCATCTTGATACGTTGACTCACAGAGCCATTCAGTGCGATGCAGTAAGTTTCAATGCATTTTAGACTGTTTCGTTGGACTTCAAGGCTGGGTACACCTGGTGCAAAGTTAACCACTTATTCGAAACATGGCAAGCAACATCCGACAAGTTCAACATTTGATGTTTACGGGCAAAACTCCAAACGTTACAAGCCCACGGTCGAAACACTGTTCTTCTTGACCACGAAAAAGGTTTCCCTTGGCAGTTCGGCAGCCACAGGGGATCAATGGGAGGGGATGGGATGGAGGATGAAAACGTCGAGCCTCCTGGTTCGACCTTGACGAACCAGGCAAAACACTACGGTCAGTTCGTGAAAAAACGAAAATCATGCCGGACGTGGACCAAAAATGCGACGCGAACCCCACGCTAGGGTTTAGCCCGCGTCGCGTCCTCCCCCGAATTCCCCCCCCATGGCGGAAAAACTCCGCCCTAGTATTCAGGGCATGAGAATTGCATTCCCGTGAGTGGGCTCAACCCACGGCGGATGAAAAATGCATTCCCTCATCCACGATTTTTGTTTAAAATTTACCCCACACTCTAAAAAACAAAACAACGCGGACATCGAAATTATACTGCTAAACACACAGATTTAAAATGAACTCAATAAATTTAACTAAAGTAAGATCGTCTTTACTCCCTTCAATTATTTTTAAAGTGTTGAGGGTTTTGGGAGAGTGAGCTACCCAAACAAATCGCAACAGTAAATGCGGCAGGTGGAAGGAAAACTGTTCAGCTCGCGAAGTTTCGTCTCGCGCGGCTGCAGTTTCGTGAGTCCCCATTTCCCGAATCGCCCTTCCGCGCCATTTCCCCCAAACCTTCCGCTTGCGCCTGAACCCTAGACTTCCGAGTCAATGAATGTTGACCCTAAGTTGACTAACCCAAACTAGAAACCCTAGCTATGAGTTTCGATCCCTCCCCCCATCCCCTGCTGGATCCCATGTGCTGCCGAACATCGCCCTTGTTTCTCACACAGAACACGCTCCAGTACTCCATATTTGGAAACTGTAGTTGAAGCGGTTACTCTAGTGTCTTGTTGAAGACCCCTGAGAAAAGCGTGTGCGAGTGAGGTCTATCTATTTGATCAAAAGCGCAAATTGAAAAGGGAAAATGGTGTTGTGTTTCTGAGAATCGAGTGTCACAACGATTCAGGACGAACCCCAACGACCGCGAAAACTTCGAGTTGTCGTCGATTCAGCATTGTGCGACCTCCAATTCTCTCGGCCAGCACGATGGTGTCTTGCCCGCCTGATGGTCCCGTTAGTCGCACGAAAAAACTGGTGAGCTTGTCTCTGGTACAGCCAGCACCAAAATCACCCGTTGATTCCCTTCGTTTCAGCATGGTGCTTTGATTCCGTTTACAGCGCAGCTACTGTAAATAATTTACTGTAGTGAGCTTGTCTCTGGTACAGCCAGCACCAAAATCACCCGTTGCGCTGTCTTGTACCGAAACCGAATTTCAACAAATCACAACCGTAGATACATTTACTGTACATTCTGTACGATATCTGCTGTGTTGCTTCCAGGAGGATCTAGAACTCGTGAGATTGCTGCTACAGCATCCGTCAGATTCACGCGTCCTGAAATCTAACATCCATCTCCCTTCACCGAAGATTTTGTGGTCCTCAGACTTCCACAGCTGTCATGTCGCTAGTGCTGGTTACCCTATCGCACGAGTCGCCCGAATCCCATCACGTGGAGTACGCTGGAGGAATGATCAGTTTACAGCACACCAGCGAGCCAACACAATGGCAAAATCTAGGGTTTCCAACTCCTAGCTTTTGTCCCTGCACTGCATGCCTTTCTCACAGCTAGGGCATTCCAGGCCCCCAGCTGCATAGGAAAAGGCCACCTGGAGCTTGCTTGTGCCATTGTCATCGAGGCCCTAGCATGAACGAATGTACGGTCAGCCTATCTCGATGGCGTTCTTCTCATGTCTAGCCTGCTTGGCCTCTTTCGGATCTCCGTACGACGAAATAAACGGTTCTCTAGTGTGTGACACGCACTACCGAAGTTGTTGGCCTAGTTTGTTTCAGGGCAAGCCCAGTAAACCCTTTAGCTTCTAGACGTCGCGTTGTTGACTTAACTTTAAAAAAGTGAAGGACGTAACCACGCCATCGGGCTTACCCGGTCCCTTGTATGTGTCTATCTCGCTTTCGTGCGATTTCGCCGCGCCGGACCCACTATCCATTGGCGGGGCATTACTCTTAAATAGCAAAATAGCTGCCGTGTTCATGTAGTTCAGGGTCAAACAGGTTACTTTTACGAAACTAGCTATTTTTCTAAATTTCATCTTGTTAACTCCTAGTAGTCCTCCCAGGGATGGAGGTCACCAGCAAGGCCGCGCGGGAAGGATCCCGCGCCGGCGGGGGAGGCGAGGCCTCCAGTCGGCGGAACGGGGGGGAAAGAGAGGGCCGCGGATCAATGAGCGGAACCAAGCGAGAGCGCGGCGGTGGCGCGTGGGGCGCGGAGAGCAGCGGTCCCGGCGGGCGCAGCGGAGCCGGCGGAGCTGGCGGAGCGGGGGGAGCCGGGGGGAGTTCCGCAGGGGCCGGCGCGGAGAAGAAGGTGAAGGTGATGCAGCGCGGGCACGGCATTGCGCACCTGGAAAAGCTCCGCCTTCAGGAATTGCGCAACGCGGAACTAGAGCGGTCGCAGCAGCAACAGCAGCAACAGCAGCAGCAGCAACAGCAGCAGTTACGACAGCTTCAGCATCAGGACCCCTCAAGCCTCTTAACCTCTTCCGCGGCGCTCCAAGCCCTAGGCCTAGGCGGACTCTTCCCCTTACCTCCCTCCGTCGCTTCCTCCTCTCTCGCTTCCCTCTCCGCCCCTCTGGGACCGCTTTCCGACAACCTCGCGACGGCGGCGGCGGCGGCGGCGGCAGCGGCAGCCGCGTCCGATCCGTTATTGAGTATCGCTGCTAGAAGGCAACTGTCGCTACTTGCCGCGTCGCGATCGTTATCCAGTGATTTCGCTGATCGAATGCGAATGGGCGGAGATCGATCCGTGTTGGGCGGAGGGAGCGGAGCTGGCGGAAGCTTGGGCGGGCTGGGCGCTGCGCTTGGGGGCCTAAGCGGAACGACGGGGAGCAGTCCGGGCGGACACGAGCGGGTTCCGCTCGACGTGGTGATGGCAGCTTCGGCAGGCGCAGCTTTGGGTAGAGAGGGATTCCACAGGCTCGGCGGAGGCTTGGGCGGAGGTTTGGGCGGAGGCTTGTTTGGCGCAAGCGGATTAGGGCTGGGGGGAGGGTTGGGGGGAGGGTTGGGGGAAGGGTTGGGAGGAGGCGTGGCGGGGGCGCGGGGAGGGACCGCGAGCGAAGGGGGCGCGGGGTTCGGGAGTATCTTCGGCGGGGGGTTGAGGGGGGCGGCGGTGGCGGCGGCCGCGGCAGCTGCGCACGCGGCGAGCACGGGGAGGGGCGGCACTGGCTGGGCGATGCAGTCGCTAAGCGAGTTCGCCATCCGGCGGCTTCAGATCCTGGTGAGCCGCGAGCGGAGCGAAAGCCGTCATCCGGCGTTATTTGAGGCTCCGACGTTTCTTAGTCCAGCGGCTTCAGAGCGTTGTGAGCGAAGTAACTCTGAAAGCCGTCGTTCTCTAGGCGCCGGAAATTGATTACTTTGGGGATCAGATCTTGGAAGCCATGGGACTTTCTTTTGTTAACGGAGGAATTTTGCACCATTAAGAAAAAGAAGAGTTTATTTTAGGGTTTTTTTCTTCTTCTTCGTTCTTGATTTTTTTTTCCCTCCTTGCACGTCCCTTCCCCTCCTCCCCCACCCCCCTTCCCACAGAACGACCTACGGCAGGTGGAATCAGCAGGCGGGGGATCGAATCTCGACGTCGGCGCATTTGGTGGCGCAGGGGGACCAGGGGGCGGGAGTGTGGCGATCGGCGCGGGGTACAACTCGTGGGAGGTCGACAGCAGCTCGCGCACCCCAGGACCCCGCGGAACAGCGCTGGGCGCAGCGCTAGGCGCAGCGCCAGGGGGAGCATCAGGGGGAGCGTCAGGGGGAGCGCCAGGGGGAACGCCAGGGGGAACGTTAGGGGGAACGCTAGGGTCGGCAGCGGGGGGGGGACTTGCTGGGGCGGCTTCGTCCCGCGGGCTGTCTAATTTTGCCTCTGGCGCGCGCCCAGGCGGGGGAAGCGCGGAGATGAGCGCTGGCGTGGGCGGCGGAAGCGGAATGGGCGCTGGGGGCGCTGCTATAAGCGCTGGGGGAGGCGGTAGCCCGGGGGGAAGCTCGCTTTCCGCGCATCTGCCCAGCGCCGTGCCTCTTTCCGCCACTGGCGCGGGGCTGGGGCCCTCCGGTTTGCGCCACAGCAGCTATGGGGGGGATGGGGGAACGGAGGGGTCACCTTTTGGGGGAGGCAGAAGCGGAGGCGGAGGGGGAGGGGGAGGGGGAGGCGGAGGCGGAGGGGGAGGTGGGGTGGGCGGCGGAAGAAATCTTGAGGAGGAAAGCGGGAAAGGGGTTTCTTGGGGGGATTTGACCAGAGGCGGGGTAGTGGGGGGAATGATGCTAGTGGGGAGCGACTGGGGAGGGGAGGAGAGGGCGGAAGGGGCGCAATGTTTGGGCTAGGGGCGGGCAGGAGGGAGGAGGAGGAGAAGGTGGGCAGAGAAAGGGCATTCCCAATGCACCACACACACCCGTTTATGCAGTAAGTTGTTACTACTACCGTACTGTATCGCACTGTACCGTTCCCTGTCCTCGCGTCCGATTTAGCACCTTCACCCTGACTTGAAGGCACCAGCACCACGGATATGTGGGCAAGAAAGAGCGTTTCCGATTCACCACACGCACCCGTTCAAGCACTCTGCTCGGATCATATCTTCCGCTTTTCCCCTCCATCCCGCTTTCGAGTTGACTTTTGAGTCGACTCAAAAGTCAAGAGCGTTTCCAATTCACCACACCACACGCATCCGTTCAAGCACTCTGCTCGGATCATATCTTCCGCTTTTCCCCTCCATCCCGCTTTCTCCCCCAACCCTTCCTCTTCCCACCCCTCCGCTTCCCCTTTCCCTTCCCCATCCTTCAAATATTCCCTTCTGCCCCCTCCCCAATTTTCTCCCCCGCCCGTTCCTCCCCGCAGCAGCTCCCGAACCGTGTCCGAACCTGTGAGTGGAGCCTCGGCATCTCTCATCGCGTCCCTCTCCTCGCGAATCCTTGCCGAAGCTCACATGCGCTAGGCTGCAGCGGCAGGAGCGGCCGCAGCAGCAGGAGCAGGAGGAGGAGCAGGGGCAGCAGGTAACACCAACGCTAACTCACCAGCAGCAGCTGCAGCCGCAGCAGCCGCCGCAGCAGCACATCTGAACCACCTAAACGCCGCAGCAGCAGCATCGGCAGCAACGGCAGCAGCTGCAACAGCAGCGGCAACAGCAGCGGCAACAGCAGCAGCAACAGCAGCAGCAGCACACTTTGGGAACATAGGAGACTTTGGCCCAACAGCAGCAGCAGCCGCAGCAGCGGCGGCGGCAGCAGCAGCAACCACAACTCAACAACCCCCCAACCCGTCCTCCTCCTCCTCCCCAGGTCATGCGCTCTCCCCGTTTGCTCCAGCCTCCCCATTCTCCCCTGCCTCTCTAGCCGATTCTCTCCTTTGGAACCGTCTCAAGGCGGAGTCACATCTAAGAGACTTGGCTTCAAGAGACTCGAAAGCGGCGGATATGGCTTTAAGGGACGTGAAGGCGGATGGCTCGGGTCCAGGAGACGTGAAGGCGGATGGCTCGGGTCCAGGAGACTTGAACACAGTGAACTCGGTGGAAACGGAGGGTCAGTTACGGGGTTTGAAAGCGGCTCAAGAGGCGAGAGCGGCTCAAGAGGCGAGAGCAGCACAAGAGGCGAGAGCGGCTCAAGAGGCGAGAGCAGCACAAGAGGCTAGAGCGGCTCAAGAGGCGAGAGCAGCACAAGAGGCGAAAGCGGCGCAAGAGGCGAAAGCAGCAGACTTGGCTTTTAGGTTGCAGCTGGAGGGACGGCTGGGACCACAGGAGGCAGCTCGGCAGCTCGAAGCCTTTTCTGAGGCGCCGCAAAGCCAAAAAGTGTTTTCTGAGCCCAGAGGAACGGATTTGGCGCCTTTTGAGGCGCCCAGAGGAATGGATCTGGCGATGGTTCTGGAGTCGGCGCAAAAAGCGGCGCAGGAGTCGAAAGCTGCGGACCTGGCTTTAAGGCTGCAGCTAGAGGGGCGGCTGGGACCGCAGGAGGCTGCAAGGCAGCTGGAAGCGGCTAGACTAGCTGCTGCTGGGGTTATGGGGGGGGCAGGAGGTGAGGTGACTTTTGAGTCGACTCACAAGGCGCTGAGGGTGCAGCTAGAGGGGAGGTTGGGACCGCAGGAGGCAGCAAGGCAGCTGGAAGCGGCTAGGCTAGCTGCTGCTGGGGTTATGGGGGGGGCAGGAGGTGAGGTGACTTCTGAGTCGACTCACAAGGCGCTGAGGCTGCAGCTAGAGGGGAGGTTGGGACCGCAGGAGGCAGCACGGCAGCTGGAAGCGGCTAGGCTAGCTGCTGCTGGGGTTATGGGGGGGCAGGAGGTGAGGTGACTTCTGAGTCGACTCACAAGGCGCTGAGGGTGCAGCTAGAGGGGAGGTTAGGGCCGCAGGAGGCAGCACGGCAGCTGGAGGCGGCTAGGCTAGCCGCTGCTGGGGTTATGGGGGGGGCAGGAGGTGAGGTGACTTCTGAGTCGACTCACAAGGCGCTGAGGCTGCAGCTAGAGGGGAGGTTGGGACCGCAGGAGGCTGCAAGGCAGCTGGAGGCGGCTAGGCTAGCTGCTGCTGGGGTTATGGGGGGGGCAGGAGGTGAGGTGACTTTTGAGTCGACTCACAAGGCGCTGAGGCTGCAGCTAGAGGGACGGTTGGGACCGCAGGAGGCAGCACGGCAGCTGGAGGCGGCTAGGCTAGCCGCTGCTGGGGTTTTTGGGGGGATAGGAGCTGGGGGAAGGAGGAGAGGCGGAGGGGTAGGCACAGGGGGAGGCGCAGGGGGAGGCGCAGGGGGAGGCGCAGGGGGAAGCGCAGGGGGAGGGGCAGAGGGAAGCGCGGGGTCAGGCGCGGGGGGAGGGGGATTGGGGGGAGCTGGAGCAGGAATGGGAGCAGGTGTTGGGAAAGGGGGTGGATTAGGGTTGGGGATAGGAGGTGGGGAGAGGGAAGTGGGAGGGTTTGTGCGGAAGGGGGAGAAGGAGAATCATATATTTGGAACGGTTTTTGAGGCTCCTCAAAAGAAAAGGTCGTTTGAAGTCGCTTTAAAGGCTGGTGCTGGTGGGAATGAATCAGGAGGGCGAGAGGGGGAGGGGTTTGGAAAGCAGGGGGGAGGAAGGATGGGTCGGAAAGTGGCTGAGCAGGGAGAGTGGTTTGGAAAGCAGGGGGGATCTAGACTGACGGAGGGTGGGGAGAAGAGACGGAAGGAGGAGGGGGTGGATGAGGAGGAAGAGGGATGGAAGGGACGTGAGGGGGTGGCGAAGAGGGGAAGGGGAGAGGAGGTGACAGAGGAGGTGAGGGGTGTGGGGGATGAGGGGAGGAGGACGGGAGGAGTGGGAGGTGTGGGAGGGATGGGGGAGGGGCAAGGGCAGGGGGTGCAGGTTCCGGCGAATTTCTTCCTGAATAGATGGGCTTCGGTGGGGAGGAGTAAGAAGGAGTTGGAAGCTGTAGCAGGGGGTTCGGCAGGTGCGACGCTCAGCGCACCCGAAGCAGCACCGGCAGCAGCAGGGGCAACAGAAACAGTAGCAGCAGCAGCAGAATCAGCACTTGCTGTAGCTCCAGCAAGAGCAGTGGCATCATCAATGGCAGCAGCAGCAGCAGCAGCAGCAGCTGCTGCTGCTGCTGCTGCTGCAGGCGCTACAGCCGCTGGTGCTAATAGCGCGGGTGTGGAGACTAAGTGGTGGCGGCGGGTAAATCTCAACCTAGAAGAGACAGGAGGAATGAGGAACAGCGATAATATGATTCTTAATAGGGACGAGCCTGGGTTAAGTGGCAGCGGTGTGGGCAGTGTGGGAGGGGTCGGGTCGACTGGTGGTGCTACAGATGCCACAGGTGCTGCCACAGATGCTGCTAGAGCTGCTACAGGTGGTGGTGCGGGCGATGGGGGCACAGATGCTGCAACAGACGATGCTACAGATGGTGCTACAGATGGTGCTACAGACGATGCTACTGGTGCTGCTACAGGTGCTTGTGCTGAAACCGGTGAGGCTGCTTCAGTGTTGCATGAGGAGTGGAGGACAGGTGAAACGAGAGCAGTGAAGGAAGAGAAGGGGAGAGAGGAGGATATGAGAGGGAAGGAGGGGAGACGAGGTAAAGAGGAAAGGGTGGTGGAGGAAAGGAGGGCAGCCGGGGGAAAAGGAGTAGCAGAGGAGGAGAGGAGAGAAGTGGAGGAAAAGAGGGTAGTGAAAAAGGAGAGAGCAGTTGAGGAGGAGAGAGTGGTAAAGGAGTTGAGGAGCAACATGGCGAAGTGCTTGGGGGAGGATGTGGCAGGACGGGTCTTCGCCGCCATGCAGTCTCAGGAGGAGGAGTGCGCCAGGCAGATTCGCCAGCTGCACCATTTGCATGAGGTGCGTGTGTGTGCTTGCTTGGGTTGGGTTGGGTTGGGTTGGGTTGGGTGGTTTGGGGTGAATCTCTTTCTGAGTTGACTAAAAAATGGACTCATGACAGGAGGAGTGCTCCAGGCAGATTCGCCAGCTGCATAAATTACATGAGGTGTGTATGTGTGTGCTTGCTTGGGTTGGGTTGGGTTGGGTTGGGTGGTTTGGGGTGAGTCTGTGTTTGAGTCGACTCAAAAGTAGACTCGTCTCAGGAGGAGGAGTGCGCCAGGCAGATTCGCGAGCTGCATAGATTACATGAGGTGTGTATGTGTGTGTGCTTGCCTGAGTTGGGAGGACGACTTTTGAGACGTCTCAAAAGTTCTTTGCTGCCCTGATCCCGTTGCCCCTGTTTCTCCCTCCACCCCTTCCCGCCCCCCCCCCCCCCCCCCCCTTTCATCCTTCGTTTTCTATATCCACAGAAGCAGCGACAGCTACTCTCTCAGCTACAACCGGCAGTCACACCCCTCCCCTCCTCCACCCCCACCTCCTCCCTCCCCTCCCCTGCTGCTCCTGCTCCCTCCTCCTCCTCCCTTCCCTCCCCGGCTGCTGCTCCTCCCTCCACTTCTCTCCATATGGGTGGAGGAACAGCAACAGCAACAGCAACAGCAGCAAAAGCAGCTACAAGAACGGCCTCCCCTGCTGCTCGCCCGTCCACCCTCTCTCCTACCGTTGCCACACCTCTTTCCCGCAGCAGACCCACACCCAGTAAGTGATCCCAGTCTTTAGTCCGAGCTCTCTTATTTTTTAGTCAACTTAGAAGTCACCCGCAGCAGACCCACACCCAGTAAGTGATCCCAGTCTTTAGTCCGAGCTCTCTTATAGTCTGCATGCGCTGATCTATGCATGCAATGCAACAGTACTTTACTTTTAACGTTGACTCAAAGCTCTCTCTCAAGCAGTCCTTCATTTATGGGTTTATAAGGATACAGGCATGGTAGGGGCAGGTGCTCTCTCTCTCTCTCTCTCTCTCTCTCTCTCTCTCTCTCTCTCTCTCTCTCTCTCTCTCTCTCTCTCATGGTCTTTGCATTACTTTGAGGGGTGGTACAATGGAAGATGCAAAACACACAAGCACAACAAACACCCAAACCGGCATCCTAACTACCTCGAGTCCCCTACCTACTCAGCCCCCCCCCTGTCCGACCCTACTGGTCGAACGGGGCCTCAATCAACTGGTGCAGCTGTCCCTCACTGAGAGGGATGATGGGTCCTCTAAAGCCGAGCTCATCCGCCGCCAAGGCCTCATTGGTCTTGGTGCGGAGGGCGTTGGCCTGCGCCCGCTGGAGGCACACGCTCCAGCGCTGGCGGTACTCCGTCAGCAGCTTCGCCGCTTCGTAGGAGGTAGGGGCTGCGTCAAAACGCAGCTTTGCCGCCAGCTCCGCGCATTGCCGCAGGTAAGCCATCACTCCTGGCGAGGGGTAGCCGTAAGTTTCTACTGCCAGCGCGTGGAACCCCACCCACGCGTTCCGGCGAGTGTACTTCTCCTCCTTTCTTGCTGCTGCCGCCCTAGCCGCCCATCCAGGAGCTCGGTTGCAGTTCTCGTCCTGGTATAACACCGGGTCCGTCACGGTCACGTCGCACATCCAAACCTCTCCAGTCAGGGGATGACGGATGGTGACATCCGCCTTTAGATTTTCAACCAGAGAGTAGACATACGTCTCCTTGTGAACCGTAAACCCCGCCTCGGCCCCTATGTTTGCTATCTCATCCCGCAGGGCGTGATGGGTAGCGGTCCTCCCTTTCCCCTTCTCGCAGCGCATGAGGTGGTTGGGGAGGCGGTCGTCGGGGAAGGTGGTGCGGTAGCGGCAGTCACAGCGTCTAGGCACGGGGAGGGGGAGGCCTAGGCGGAAGGCAGCTGCTGTTGAGAGCTGGGACGGGCCCATACGGAGTGAGGGGATGAGCGGGATCGCCAGCAGCCAGTCCCCCGCGCCTGGGCCTAGCACCGACTGCATCCGTTGCGCGTGGCCAGAACGGGGGTTGGGGCGCATCCGCCTCGCCTCGCGCATGACTCTCAGGAAGCGGCGGGAGTGAACCGCCAGTGCTAGGCTCTGCTGCAGCTTCAGTCCCTTGGGGTCTGCCTTCCCGGCCTGAAGCACCTCAAGAGCCTCAGGGGGGAGAGCTGCCTCAGCCGCAGAGAGGCGTGCTGGCAGCGCGTGCGGGGAGCCGTGGGTCGGGTCCAGTAAGGGGAGGAGCGCGGCGACAGCAGGGTGCAACGAGTCCTCCAGGGAGTGCAGGAGGTGGGCGGCGCTGATCACTGAAGCGAGGTAGGCGTAGCTGCCTTCGACGGCGGGATCAGTGATGCCCAGGCCTCCCAGGGTCACTGGCAGGGCCGCCTGCCGCCAAATCCTCCGTCTCTCCCTGGCACTCCTTGGGCTCATGATGTGGGCCGAATCCAGGAAGGTATGTAGAAGCTGTTCCCCCCAAGCAGACCATTCCGCTTCAGGGAGAGCTTCCAGGGGGGTTGTTCTGGCCAGAAAGGATGCTCGGCGGCTGACACAGCGGGTGAGGAGGAGGAGACTGAGCTGGGGGTCCATCTGGGCCAGCAGGGGGAGTGGGGCTGCTGCTGCTGCCAATCTCTCTCTCACAGCGCCTGCGCAGCCGCGGGGTGTGCCAACCGGGCTGCCAAGAATCTGCAACCCCTCTTTAGAGATTGTAATGCCTGGGGGAACTGAAGAGGGGTCAATTGCTGTTGCGGACCACGCCGCGCACTTGGCCGGGTTGTGTACCAGGCCTAGGGCGGCTAGTGCAGATGTGAGGTGGTCAAAAGCCGCTGTGCAGGCCGTGGCGTCGCCGAGCAGCGTGATGTCATCGGCGTACGCCAGCAGGACCACCTGAGGGTGTGCAGCCGCCGTGTCAACAAGGCACGGGTGGATGCTTGCCGCGAACAGGAGGGGGCCGAGCGGGTCCCCTTGGCGAACTCCTCTGGCGCTCTGCAGCGGGGCTGCGTCAAAGTCGTGGTCGAGGTAAAGTGAGGAGGGAGCCCCATAGGATAGGCGGACGAGGGGGATCAGATCCTTCAGCGCCTCGTTTTTCAGTCCCTCGAACACCGCTCTCCTTTCGACCGCGTTGAACGCGTTCGCGAGGTCAATCTGCAGCGCCACTGCCTCAGGGTGGACTTCCAGGTACGTGCGAGCGGTGTGGATAGCCGCTTCAATCCCCCCTGCTACTGCTACTCCGAACTGCAGGGGGGCAAAGTGAGTACGAGCGGCCGGCGCGGTCAGAAATAGTGCGGCTTTTGTAATGATCCGGAGGAGGCACTCTCCCACCGCGATCGGCCTCGTCCCCCCTTGAGGTTTCGTAAAGGCTAACAGGCGGGAGGCCGTTAGGAGCTCCCCTGCGACTGTGGTGAGTTTTCCTGCTAGCGCCGTGTCAGAGAGGGCGAGGAGGTGGGTGAGTACTTCGGCATTCCCTAGGGCTGCGTCGCGGATGTGCTCGAAGGTGGTTCCTGAAGGGCCAGCCCCGACTCCGTTGGGGAGCTTGGCGAGGAGACGCCTGAAGTCGCGGGCTTCGATAGTGGGTGGCTCTTCCGCCGTGGCGGTGTGGAGCCAATCGGGAAGTAATTGGCAGGCAGAGGGGTGTCTCGCCGTGATTGCTTCCAACACTTCGGGTGAGGCGGGTGACACAGGAGTGGCCTGGAGGGATTGAAGTGATTTTGACAGGTTACCCCGTTTTGCCAGTCCTTCCGCCCTTGCCAGTATTCCAGTTGTGTCAGGAGCGTGGCGAGGTTGCGGTGGCAGGGTAATCGCCTGGACAGCTTCTTCGTATAGGTCGGCCCAGAACCCTTGGCGAAATCGCAGGAGCCGGTTCATCATCGCGCTCCAATCAGGTTTACGGGCTGACGAGGTGCGAAGGAGTATGCGCGGGAGAAAGGTCAGTAACTTCCAACCCGGTGGGGACTCGGGATTGGCTGCCAGGTGGAGTAACGGTGTCAACATGCAGATCGCGAAGGAGTCGCGAAGGTCTTTGGGGGGGTGGCGGGCGAGAGGCGGTTGGCGACTGTCGCGCAACGGGTCAAGGTCCCAGTCTGCAACCTGAGCGAACAGGTCAGTATTTTTCGCCAGGTCGTCAGGTTTGAGCATCGGGGGGGTTGGATTTGGGGCTGCAGAATTTTCATTGGCTGCTGCAGAGTCAATTCCGTCTTCTGACGCGGCTCGATTTCCCCCCCTTGCACGGCTTCCCCCCGCGGTTCGATTTCGACCTGTGGTTCGGTTTGCAGGTTCGCCTCGGGCCTGCTGGTTTGGGAACTCCGCTCCCCGAAGCAGCAGCTCCACCTCTTCCTCGTCCTCCTCGGCCTCTGCTTCCAACATCCCCTCCCTTTCTGGGTTAAAAGCAGGGTCACCCCCTTCGCTTTCTTCATTCTCGACTTCGTCCTCTGCTTCCTCGCTGGGCTCCTCCTCGCCGCCTTCCACGCCTTCACCCATTAGCCTTTCAGCAGTTCTCGCGTAACCGCTTGCGCCGGTGCGGCGCCGATTTGGGCCGCGCGCTCCTCCACCTCTCCGTCCTCTCCCGTTCCCACGGCGTCCGCGGCGGCTGCTGCCGCGTCCCACGCGGATTCCCCGCGTTCCTCTTCCTCCTGCAGCTCCCGTGCGTCCTGTCTGGGGCTCCTCGACCACCTCGTCCTCAACTTGTCGGCGCGCTGGCGTCGGCTGCGGTGCTGTCGGGGGTGATGGACCCATCCGCGAGACGTGATCCGGAGCTGGAGGGTTCCGCAGAGAGCGCGCTGCCGGAGCTTGCGCCTGCCGGGCTTCGTCCGCGCGTCCCTGCGCACCCCTCCGCAAGCGAGCCCGTCCGCCGCTTCGAGCGAGTGCAAACTCTTCCCCATCGGCCTGCCGCGCGCCCCACCTCGCCGGAGTATTCGTGGGCCCCTGCACGTGTTGCGTCGAACCGCCCGGACGGTCAGCCGCGGCAGGAGCGCGGGCGCTCGCCTCCGCGTCAGCCTCCTCGGCAGCCCTCTCCTCGCCGCCCATCTCCTGAGCATCGCGAACCTCCTCAGCGCAGGGAGGGCGATCAGCGGTCCCCTGCGCGTCATCGCTCTCCTCGCCGCCCATCTCCTCGAGGTCGGGCAGGCCAGCGCTCACCCCGAGCGCGATCCCCCGCGCAACGCTCTCCGCGGCGATCTCCGGCGACGCGGGGAAGGGGGTCGCCTGGACGTCGCTGGGATTCGGGCCGTCGCGAGCAGTCTCCTCCGCGTCTGCATTCGGCTGGTTCCGGAGGTCGGCGGGGCCGGCGGAATGGCGGTGGGCGTGGGGGTACTGATCGCGGGCAGGATCCTGCCCTCGATCGGGCCACGAATGCGTTTGCGGAAGTGGTGCGGCAGGCGCGGGCGAGCGGGGAGCCGACTCACGTACACATTGAGGTGACCAACGGACCTCCCTTCGCCGCGGACCCTGGCCAGGTGGCTCCTCTGCGCGCGCCGACGCTGCGCGAGTATATGCCCGCGCGGGAGGGGAGGGCTCAGTTCCGCACACCTCGACCGGTCCCGGGCTTCTCCGCGCAGCGCTTCTCTGTAGGCCGGACTCCTTGCTGGCCGACGGCGTTTCCGCGCGAAGCTCCGACTGCACCTCCCCCCACTCACGCGGGGAGAGACCCCATGCTGACCATGTGCCGGATTCTGAATCTGGCGGAGGCGTGCGAGGTGGTGGCGAACTTGCAGCTGGCGGTGTGTGGGGCCACGCGGAACTTTCCGAGCAGTTACGGTCCAGGATCCCGAGGGTCCTGCGTGTCTTTGGCAGAATCGCTCGAGTCGCCGTTGGCACCCGTGTCGGAAGCGCCCGCCGGGGTAGCTCCCTTAGCGCGTACCTTCCCCCGCCACGTTGGGGATCTTGTAGGGGCTGCCCGAGTCGGGACCCCTGTGGACACACTTCAGTCGTCGGCGCATCTCCTCCTTGCGGTGTCGGCGGCCGCCGGCGCGAGCCGCTGGAAAAAACGAACCCACACGAAATAATGAGCAAGGAGAGGCACAAGCAGCCCTTAAGTAGGCACGGAGGGCAGAGGGCAGAAGGGAGAGGCAGAGGGCAGAGGGCTAAGGTTCCTCTCTCTCTCTCTCTCTCTCTCTCTCTCTCTCTCTCTCTCTCTCTCTCTCTCTCTCTCTCTCTCTCTCTCTTCCCGCTCCTTCTCTCCCCCTCTTCATCTTGTTCAGCGTTCAACCCGCCTGAGAGCTGGGCTCGGGCCCCTATGCATGCAACGGTGCTCCGGACTTGAACGCATATTTCGAGGCTGATTCCTCCTTCTCCACCAAAACCCCCCAATTTCCCCTTCCCCCTCACTTCTCTAATCCTCAGCGTTCAACCCGCCTGAGAGCTGGGCTCGGGCCGTCTATGCATTCAACGATCCTCCGATCCCCAACTGCCTATTTGCTCCTCCCTTTCGACACGTCTCAAAAGTCCTGAGAGCTGGGCTCGGGCCCCTATGCATGCAACAGTGCTCCAGACCTCCTAACCTGTCGCTCTCTCCCCGTCTCCCCTTTCTCCTCTTAAACTCTCAGCGTTCAACCCTCCTGAGAGCTGGGCTCGGGCCACCTATCCTTGCAACGGCGCTACGGTCCTAACCCGTCCCTGCGCCCCTTCTTTTCCCCCTCCTCTACTCCGCCCTCCCCCCCCTCCTCCACCCCCTTTCCCCCTCTATTCCTCAGCATTCAACCCGCCTGAGAGCTGGGCTCGGGCCAACTATGCTTGCAACGGTGCGCCAGACTTGAACGCGGATCCAGAGGCTGACGTCACAGCAGCAGATGCAGCAGCAGAGACTGATGTCATGGCAGCAGATGCACCAGCAGACGCAGCAGCAGAAGCACCAGCAGGCACACCAGCGGGCTCACGAGCAGGAGTAGCAGCAGCGGCTGTGGCAGGAGCAGGAGCAGGAGCAGGAGCAGGAGCAGGAGGAGCAGGTTGGCGCTTAGAGATCGGAAGCACAGTAGATGATGCAGATGATTTAAAGCAAACACCTGTTGCGGATCAGCCTCTGCCCTGTAGCATCAGAAAGAGGGATCGATTTGATTTCAATAGAGAATTGGACTTTAGTAGAGTCGAGAGAGTGGGGGGAGGGGAGAGAGTAGGTAGAAGGGTGCGAGAGGAAGGAGAAGATCGGGAGGTGGAGAGGTGTAAAAAGAGGGGTAGAGGAGGCTTGGATTTCGACCTGGAGTCCGAACCTGCTGCTGAGGCTCGGAAAGATGAGGGTCGGTCAGGGTTTGATCTGGAGGCTGTTCCAACGGCTGAGATCGGCGATGGAGCAGGCAGAGGATCTGGACGGCAGGGGCTGGACTTGGAGCAGGATCGGACGGCTGAGGTTGCTTCGGAGCGAGATCTATGGACAAGATCGCAAGAAAGTCCCGATGACAAGCCTGGTTTACGGGGGACTGGAACAACAGACTCCGCAACAGAACCTGCTGACGCATCTAGGACTGGGAGAGGGAGAGAACTTTCAAAACTTTCTTCTGAGGCGCCTCATCAAGAAGCGGGCTTGCACTTTTCCACGACTAAGCCTGCTAGTGCAGATAAGGCCGGGATAGAGCTGGGCTCTGCTAGGGCTGGGAGAGGGAGAGAACTTTCAGAACTTTCTTGTGAGGCGCCTCACCAAGAAGCGGGCTTGCATTTTTCCACAACCAAACCTGCCAGAGCAGATAGGACGGGGACAGAGCTTGGCTCTGGTACGGCTGTATCCGAACCTGGCGCCTCTAGGTCTGGGACAGGATTGGGCGCAGGGCTCTGCTTATCAGGGTCGATCGCAAAACCGGAGCTTAGATTTGAGGCGCCTCTAAAGTCGGAGATGGGAGCGGGTCTCTGTTTATCAGGATCTATGGCAGAACCAGAACCTAGTGGTGAAGATGAGCCACCCATTGCCAGTGAATACCCGCGCCAGTCGCTTCCTTTCAGTTTAAAATCTGAAGCAGATTCGGAAGCAGAAGCAGAAGCAGAACCTGAAGTGAAAGACCAAGCTGCAGGTGAAGCTGGGGGTGTTGCAGCTGGGTCTGCTGAATGGTGTGGTGGTAAGCTTGACCTGGAAGCTGACTTGTCCAGAGCAGGACCGTCCCAATCGCTTCCTTTCAATTTAAAGCCTTTGGAAGCAGAAGTAGAAGCTAAATCGGCAGCTAAAGCTGAGGGTGTTGCAGCTGGGTCTGCTGAAAGGTGCGGTGGTAAGCTTGACCTGGCAGCTGGTTTGTCCAGAGCAGATCCGCCCCAGTCGCTCCCTTTAAGTTTGAAGGTTTCAGAACCTGAACCTGAACCTGAACCTGAACCTGAACCTGAAACTGCGCCTGAACCGGAACCTAAAGCTGAACCTGAACCGAAACCTGAAGCAGACGCAGAAGCAGAAGCCAAAGCTGAAGCAGTTGGGTCTGCTCAAGGGTGTGGTGAGCCTGATTCTGAAGCTACTCTTGAGGCGCCTCAAAAACCTGAAGCAGACGCAGAAGCTGAAGCTGAAGCAGTGGGGTCTGCTGCAGGGGGTGGTGGGCCTGATTCTGAAGCTGATCCGATGGGAGCAAATAAGACCCCTGGAGGTCCTACCGCTGATAAGACCTCAGTCACAACTTTTGGAAAGAAGACCTCCGGAGATCTGACCTCAGCTGATAAGACATTGCCAGATAAGACCTTGGCAGATCAGACCTTGGCAGGTAAGACCTCGGCAGATAAGACCTCGGCAGATAAGACCTTGGCAGATCAGACCTTTGCAAATATGACCTCTCGAGACAAGACTGCAGCAGATAAGACCTCAGCAGATAAGACCTCAGCAGATAAGACCTCAGCAGATGAGACCTCAGCAGAAAATACCTCAGCAGATAAGACCTCAGGCAAGACCCATGGAGATTTAACCACAAAAGGGAGCATCAGGCAGAATTTGGAGGCAGATTCTCCCAGGTTGGATTTTCCCAGATTAGATCCTTCCAGATTAGATCCTTCCAAATCAGATCCTTCCATATCCGATCCTCCTAGGTCAAATCTAGGTGCGTCTGGAGCGGAAAGGGAACGAGAGGATGCTTTGGCAGCGGAATTGGTGGGAGGGGAAGGGGAGAGAGAGCAAAAGGAGAGAGGGGAAGGGGAGAACGAGCAAAGGGAGGGAGGGGAAGGGGAGAAGGAGCAAAGGGGAGAACAGGAGAGAACGGAGCAGGTGGGAGAAGAAGGGAAGAGAGAGGATGCAGCAAAAGGAGGAAAAGGGAGAGGCGGGGAGGAGGATGAAGTTCCTGGGGGGGAGGAAGTTACTATGGCGGCAGATGGTGGTGGGGTGGTGGTGACAGGCAATGATGTGGAAAGGAAAACAATTGGTAGGGTCAGAAGAGAGGCGGAGAGGAGAGAAGGGGGAAATGAGGGAGGGGAGAAAGAGGAAGGTGAGAAAGTGCGAGGGGAGAGATCAGGAGAGGAGATAGGGGGGAAAGAGGAGGGGGTGAAATGTGCGGGAGAGAAAAAGTTAGGGGAGAAAGCGGGAAGGGAGAAAGTGGATGGGGAGAAAGAGGAGGGCAAGAAAGAGAAAGAGGAAGGAGAGGAGGGAGGAGAGAAAAGGGAAGGAGAGAAAGAGGAAGGGAAGGTGGCGGAGGTTCAATTAGAGATCGAAGGAGAGGAGAGAATAGATAAAAAGAAAGAGGGGGATAAGGAGTTGGGGGTAGGGGACCTAGCAGGGAAGGCAGGGAAAGTGGAAAGGGAGGTAGGAGAGGGAGGAGGGAAGGAGAGTATTGAGGTGACAAGGGAGGAGGAAGTGATACTACTGAAGCCGGAGGTTATGTCTGGGGAGAAGAAATCAATCTTGAGGGAGGTAGGAGGAGAGTTGAAGCTATGTTGAGGGACCATGGAGGAGAGATGAAGGGGGGGCAAGGAGGATACACAGATGCAAGACAAGACCTGCAGCTTGTGGCCTTCAGGTGTTCCTCATGAATAAGTCACATGAAGAATGTTACTGACTTGTATTGCAGACAAGAAATGGTAGAAGTGTTTAACATTTGGTAGCATATGTACCTACCCTCAGGCTACCTTACTGTTTTCTTTCAAACAAGAAGCAGTTTCCTATACTGTAGCTATATCCATTTTTCTCTCGCTCGATATAGTGTTGGGACAGGTGGTCGGTGCCCTTCATCTGTAATGCGCAAGTGTCGAGAGTTTTGCTCAATTCCGCGGAGTCGCGGTTCGTTTTATTATCGCCACGTGGCATGCCTTCGATCGCGTGAACCGCGATCTGTTTTATTGTTATCACAGACTTCTAGAGAAGGTGTTTAGGGTTGATGCCTCCCTAACACATGCCAGGCCCGAATGGGTTTTATTTTTGCCCGCGGGCAGCACAGTACAGAACTTAACTAAATTTCTCTAGAAGTCTGTGATAATGTAAGGAAAATTCCTTTTCCTTACTTCGCGTCCCTGCTTACTGCGTACATGCCCGTTCCCGCCATCGGCACCCATCCGTGAACGTTACCCGCTCGCGACATTCGCCTCGACCACGACTCCCGCCACTGTTCACGATGCGACCCAACCTCACGGTTCGGTTGGTAACCCGCGCTCCGGACCTCCGCCTCGACAATTCCCAACCTCGGCGCTAGGCCCGTAGCGCACCCCAATTTCCCGCATTACCGTTACCACGCTAGCTTCGCTATATAACTTCGCTCATGCATTTCGCTCAACTGTATTGATTGCTTCGATAGTGCAATTCTCACTCGCTCGTTCAATTGCACTCGTAACACTTGGTATTCAGAGCCTACGATCTCCTCTCGGACCGCACCCACATCTTCGCTTCCCCACTATCTCAATTTTTGGGGGGGGTAGACGTCTCTCAGCGAACAAGCACCGCCGCTCGAAGTGCTCTCTCGTAAGCACGCACGGCCACGACAGAGGCTCCCGCTGAGTTTGCCCAACACCCCCGCCATGGCCGAAATTAATCTTACGACATTGACGCAGGAGCAGCTCGACCGTCTCGTGCGCCAACTCGAAGATTCGGCACTCGAAATCGCGACACTCAAGGCGGAACGTGACTCCGCCCGCCAGCAATCAACGGTGAATGCACCAGCTCCATCACAAGCACCTGCAAATGCACCTGCGCAATAAGAAGAACCGATCGTCATCTCATCAGGCACACCGACGCAAAACGACAGCGTGGGACAGCGCTCAGGCGCAGCCAGTGATGGCGCCGCTCAATCGATGCCTGGCATGGATAGAAATCGGGCCGCGCCAAGCCCGCGTGGGCCTCGCGAAGCTCATCGGCACGTGGAGTTTGCAGCAACAAGTGGCAGCCACGACATAATGGCACCAATGCCACTCAAGCCGCAGCGCCCGCCCTGTTTCGATCCGAGCCAACGTGGAGGTCCGACGGTTCAGTCGTGGGTCTTCACGATGAACGTTTTCTTCGACGCGAATTACGTCGAGTCGGACACAGCGAAGATTCGCTACGCTGTTTCGCTGCTGAGGGGCCCCGCCATGGACTGGTGGCGAGTCATCGTGACGTTGCCACGCGCCTACGAGCCACCGTCGCAAGAGGAAGGGCCCACGGGTCCAGCCGTCACCTGGAGTTCATTCTGCGAAACAGCCCAATACAGCACGTGGGATGCGTGGTGCGCAGGGCTTCGGGCGCGCTTCGAGCCGATCGCGGCTTCTATTTCGGCGCGTCAGAGACTGCGTACTTGGCGGCAGCTCGGGTCGGTTCAAGTCTACACGAGTGGTTTTCTCGCATTATGCGAGCAAGTCGGCTACATGCACGAAGCGGAGCGGGTGGACCGTTATGTTGGAGGGCTGAAGCCGGACATCTCGCACGAAATCATGCTACGCGGACTCTCGAATTTCAACGAGATTCTCGCGCTCGTCGAGAAAATCGATATCTTACGCCGTCCGAGACCGGGGTCCTATTACGGACATCGCCCTCGGGGACCGATCGAGCACGCCACTGTACATGCCGTTGCGACAAATGCAGCTGCCGCGCCGTTTAAGGGGCGCTGCTTTGCTTGCAATATGCCGGGCCATCGCAAGAGTGAGTGCCCAGAGGAGCTGAGGCGCCGCGGAGCAGAGCAGGGGAAGGAGTCTCCAAGGCAGGGAAACGCCAGCAGTCAGTAGGAATCAGGCCAACTACTGACGAGACTGCCTGCTCGCCCAACCTCACCGACCCTCACCGAGTCACAGTACCGATTCATGCTATCGATCAGGCTTGGACGAATAAGGAGGGTACAGCGACGGATTGCCCAGTACTGATCCACGGGAAAATACAGGGAGCAGCAGTGAAGATTTTTATAGACGGAGGAGCAAGTCACAGTTTAGTTAATACCGCAACCGCACGGAAGCTGCAACTGACACTTAGTCGGTGTTTACCGGAGATAGATGCACGCTTAGTCGACGGCACGCCGCTGGCGATACGGGAGAAGGTGGAAAGAGTAAAAGTCCGCTGTGGGGGGAACTTTGGTTTTACACAGGAAATGCTCGCGACGACACTGGATGGGCACGACATATTACTGGGACGCGATTGGCTGCGACGGTATAACCCGCGAATGGACTGGACGACGGGTAGCTGCACTGTGCGAAGTAGCGGTAACTGGGTCGTGCTACCTCGCTGGTAGTCGCCCGAGTCTTCAACGGTCCACGTCAACGCCATCACAACGAAACGGACTGTCGCCGCTGGAGCTGACGTGTACGCAGTGGATATAGCGTTGGTAGGAGAAGCAGAGCAGCCAAGCGATTTTCAGAAACTGTTGGCAGCAGTACCGCCCGAACTACAGGAACTGTTGAAACGGTACCCGCGGATATTTCCGGACGATTTACCAGAGGGACTGCCACCTCAGCAAGCACACGACCACCGAATAGAGTTACAACCGGGGGCACAGCCAACTGTACAGCGACAATTCCGACTGACACAGCCAGAGCTCGATGAACTGAGGAAGCAGTTAGATTACCTGTTAGAGAAAAAAATCATCCGACCTAGCTCGTCACCGTTCGCCGCCCCGATACTGTTCACACCGAGAAAAGATGGAGGCTTTCGCATGTGTATCGACTACAGAGCACTGAACAGGGTAACAGTCAAGTCGCGATACCCCATTCCCCACGCCGACGAACTGATAGATCAACTGCGAACATCACGGGTCTTTTCGAAAGTTGACTTACGCGGAGGTTACCACCAGATTCGGGTCGAACCATCGGACTGCGTAAAAACGGCATTTAGAACTAGGTACGGGTCATTCGAGTACACCGTGATGCCATTCGGGCTGACCAACGCACCGGCGACATTTCAGATGACCATGAACGAGGCGTTTAGGCCGCTCTTAGATAAATGCGTGATAGTTTACCTCGACGACATCCTAGTTTACAGTCGCGATAAGCAGCAGCACTTAGCAGATCTGGAAGCAGTATTTAAAGTCTTAGACGAGCACAGACTACTGACCAAGGGTTCCAAGTGCGAGTTCTTCCAGGATAGGTTAGAGTTTTTGGGGCACGTTATTTCGGAAGCTGGAGTTGAGATCGACCCAAAAAAACTGGACACGGTAAAAGCATGGCACCCCCCGACGAACATCACGGAGCTGCAGAGCTTTTTAGGGTTCGTTAATTATGTGCGTCGGTTCGTCCCCGACATGGCACGGTTAACTGCCCCGCTGACGGATTTACTGCGGAAGGGGGTCGCTTTTACGTGGGGAGAGAAAGAGCATGCTGCCTTCTCTGCCCTGAAAAATGTTCTTTGTTCACCGCCCGTACTGCGCATCGCCGACCCACACCGCCCATTCGAAGTAGTTACAGACGCAAGCGACATCGCCATTGGAGCCGTACTGCTACAGGATTTCGGCAACGGTTTACAGCCCATCGCATACGAGTCACGAAAACTGCATCCGCCCGAGAAAAATTACCCGATACACAACCGCGAAATGCTCGCGATCGTGCATGCATTCAAGGTCTGGCGCTGTTACTTGACCGGCGCAGACGTGACAGTACGGACAGACCACCGATCCCTACAGTACCTCCGCGCACAGCCCCACCTCAACCCACGACAGATCCGCTGGCTCGATTTCCTCGAGTCAAACTTCCACTACACGGTCACCTATAAAAAAGGAGCAACGAACATTGCCGACGCACTGACCCGCCCAACTGCCCAGATCCACGCCATACTACTCGCACAGACCAGCCCATTACCGACAGGCCTATTTACCCACGGATATCAGACAGACCCCTTCTTTACCGGAGGCAACTCGCAGCAGTTCGCAGCAGCAAGAGGGGTGTATTACGTAAAAGCCGGCACCGACCGCATCTGGGTACCGGGCTACACTTTACTAAGGGAACTGTTACTACAGGAGGCACACGACGGGGTTACCTCAGGACATTTCGGGGTAGAGAAAACACGACAGCAACTGCAGCGGTATTACTACTGGCCCGAGATGCTGACCGACGTGCAACGACACGTGGCATCGTGTCCCACCTGCCAGCTCATGAAGTCGTCACGACAACGACCGGCAGGACAGTTGCAGCCGATACCACCCCTTGAGCGTGCTTGGCAGCAGGTGACGATGGACTTCGTCACGGGGTTACCGGCTGGAGCAAGTGGGAACGACGCGATCTTGGTCGTCGTCGATCGGCTGACAAAAATGGCACACTTCGCAGCCTGCAAGAAGTCAATCACAGCCGAAGAAACAGCCCGCCTCTTCATCTCCACCGTCGTTCGATTACACGGGATACCCGCATCAATTATCAGCGACCGCGACACGAAATTCACCAGCAACTTCTGGCGAAACCTGTGGCAGCAGTTCGGCACGCGACTACAGTTCAGTTCATCATACCACCCCGAAACCGACGGACAGACAGAACGGACAAATCAGACCATGGAACAGCTCA